AAGAAGAAGAAGAAGAAGAAGAAGAAGAAGAAGAAGAAGAAGAAGAAGAAGAAGAAGAAGAAGAAGAAGAAGAAGAAGAAGAAGAAGAAGAAGAAGAAGAAGAAGAAGAAGAAGAAGAAGAAGAAGAAGAAGAAGAAGAAGAAGAAGAAGAAGAAGAAGAAGAAGAAGAAGAAGAAGAAGAAGAAGAAGAAGAAGAAGAAGAAGAAGAAGAAGAAGAAGAAGAAGAAGACGAAGAAGAAGAGGAAGGGAACTGCTGCTTCTGGTCACACAACACTCGAGAGAAAGATAATTTGCTATCGATTGAGAGAGTGGTGTCATTTTTGTCACGAGCTGTCGATTTGATGCCCTCCATAATGAATAAAAATAAGGAGACAAGGTTTAAGATTAAATCAGAGCTTGAAGGTACAGATCAAAGGACATAGGGAGTATGGATGCACTTTGGGGATTAGGCGAGCATCTGGATTAGGCATCTGAATTAGTTCAGGGATCTCGAAATTTAACAAAAAAAATCACTAGATAAGTTCAAAATAACCAACATAACATTTGAAAACTGGCGAGTTTTCAATTCCAGAAGTTTTTGGAACTGTTATGCGGTTCTTACAATGGCTTTGATAGATTCAAAATAAAACGAAGATTTCGAAAAAAAAATAATAATTAAAACTGTTTTGAAATTTTGAATGATCCATAAATTGCATTTTTTGAATCCCAGGATCTGAGAATACGTAGAATTCCAAAAACTTGAAATCTCAGAATTCGATATTTAAAACTTCTAGAACTTCAGAATCCGTACAAAAAGTAAATCTCAGAATCTCAAAATTTCATAATCAATAGAAATTCAGAATCGCAAAGCAATTTGGAAGCCAAATATTTTTGATTTTCAGAATTCATAAAATCTGAAACTTGAACGAATATTTCGAAATATTAACTGAGAGGAAAAGATTAAAAAAAAACGAAATTTCTAAGGTCAAGAATGAAACCAATAATGACTCATTCTTCCAATTAAATTCTTTAACAAAACTACTCCTACTGACAACTATTCATTGTTCTGAATAAAAAAGACTCAAAGTCGTTCTTTAAAGTTTTGATCGGCATTAGCTAAGTCTAGAACACAACTTATACTCTTTAGGTTTTAAGTTAAGGATTAAAAGGAATCCGGTACACTTTTTGCAACATTTCTGCACTTTGTTTATGTATGTTTAGATAGTAAGGTTTTGAAACCGTGGATGATATGTTACAGTGAAAGATGAGAATAATAATTGAGAGAAACAACAACTTTTATGACTGGAGCTTCATCAACCGATAGTTTGCCAACACAGACATTAAACAATTATGTCAAAACAGTGGTAGTTGATCCTATTAGATATTTTTATACAAAAAAGGAAAATTTAAAGATAAAAGTGTCTATATTTTTACTATTTCTGGAAACCATGAAACTTTATAATCTCCCTCATTCTATTTATTTTATTTAATCCTATTTACAGCTTTGGGTCAGTTTGTCGAAATAGACAGATTGAAAAAAAGTCGGTCAAATTTAGGGACCAGGAGTTCCTGACTAACAAAAACAAAATTTTAAACGAGAGTAACTATGTCAAAAGAGAATGCAAAGGGAAGTTAAAAGTAATTAAAACGGAATGAAATGAAAAGTACAAGTTTTATTGAGTGAGCTTGTAACGGGAATGGCAATTTGATGGAGAGAGAGTCAGTGACGCCTCAAAAGTCATATAATCAGCTTAACGAGTCTCGGTGAACGTACTTGATAGAGTACTACCAGTGCCGAGAAACAGTGTCGAATGGACGAAACTACAGTATCTCATTTCAAATGGGGGCGTGCTCTTCTACGGGCGTTATTGGACCGTTGTCGTTGTGTTTCAAATGATAATATGTAATCAGCTGGTTTTATTGCCTGTGATTCTCGCAAAATTTATTTAAGCACTGGTTGTAAACAGGGCAAAAACAGAAGGCGGCTGGCAGCAATGCCCTCCTTCTTGTTCAAGTGATAACACTCACACAGACTAACGTTCTTATCATCAATGGAGGATTGTTTTATGTGCATTTGGGATCAACTGTCATACCAACTAACAAGAAGAAGAGTTCATAATCATTATTAAAAGGTTAAAATGAATCGGTTGTCAGGTTTCGGTAAGCACAACTTCTTCGCTCTCCAACCACTTTCCCAGCTAATTCGAATGTTCCAATTGAGAAAAGTTCGGATGAAGTTTCTCCCCAAACAGTTGCTGATTTTGGGATATTGATGCGGAGAACACGTTGGCATGGCTAAAAGAAGGAAGGTTTGTTCTAAAAACGACGATGTTTTCTGAAATAATTCTAGCCAGGAGACCCTGGTACTCTTTTAAATGAAACTTTTCAGTCCAATGGAAAATGATTCATTAAGATCAGTATATGACTGATTGTTAAAAACAATAGATGATTCAACTTTCAAAGACTTTTATATGTACTACAGAAAGTTGTTTAATTAACCTGCAATTATTATAATTAAGATCTTAAACTTCCTGATTTCGATACACATGTAGACAATTCTTAACTAATCTTGAAAATTCATAGTTTTCCGGTTTTAATCTACTTCCACAGGGTTCCAAAAGGCCTGGTCGGAAATCGGGCCCTAGCGAAGACGAGATTAGGGTTTTTTTCAAGTTTCCATTATTACGGTTTGTCTGGTCTAAACGTTATCTGCGGCGTGATTTCTGACCAAGCCCTTTGGAACGCTGGGCCCTTCTCATTGGCTCAATTATTTTTGAAAATCTACATGTTTTAATCTGAAAATTTCTCTTGGACAGTTTCTATAAAAACCTCCTGTACAGTTTTTACCCTCACCAAAACTCTATCAAACTGTTTAGTCAAGAACACTTTTGAAATCTTTCTAAAACCAAAAAGTCTCTTACCGACAGTCCATCATCACATTTGTGGAAAATATTCACATATGGCTCGATTCCAGAAATCTCAACTTCCGAACCACTGACATTAAAGTTTCCAGATTCATCGGTTATAAAATAATTAATAAAATCATCATCATCAATAATTCCGCTCTCTTCGACGTTATCTTAAATTAAAAGTGTTCTTTTTCAACCTTTTGAAATTTCTGACTCACTGTCTGACTCCATCAAGTCGACTCTCAGCCCTGCTGCTGGTTTGCCCTCACATTTTAATTGCCCACTCACCTAAATAAACGAATGAATTTAATGACGTCACATAAGTTGGGAAAGTATTACAGCCACTGATTGTAGACGACCCAGTTTACCACCGTCGGAAGTTGATATGGTTATTGTGAGTAGGAGGAACAGAATGAACATTTTAATGCTTCTCTGGAAATAGTGAGATTGAAAGCTTTAAGAAAATAAAGCTTATCATCTGGTATCACCTGATGGGACCAGGAAGTTGGATGGATTGGAAAAAGAGAGGCGAAAGAAAGATGTGCCAACTGCGTCCAGAGCGTCATGGATAAGACAAATATTGATGAGTTTAACCGAGTAAGATAGGGGAAGAGAAAGAGAGATTACAACGGTATAGAGAACTACATCACAAGGATTATATCAGCCGAATGGTTAAAAAAGTATAATGAAAAGATCAAAATGTTACTCATCGAACTATTGGTTTCTGCATAGATGAATGAATAGGATTAACAAAAGATGAGTCAGGGTTTTGAAACTAACAACACGTTTAGCAGGTGACGTGATGGCTGTTTTGAAAAAACATGAAACAGTGCAGTATCACATTCTTTGTAACCTAAAATTTACCGTAAAACCTGTAATAGAAGAGCCCCCTAACTTTTAACTTTGACCCAATTTTTCTCAGTTCCTGTTAAAAATATAGAAGTCAAGAAGAATTATCCCAAGCTGTGCATTGTGAGGGCCTATATATTACCAGTTTTATGGTAACCTTTAATCTGTAATCTGTAAAAATGTCCAACTTTGAAGATCTACAGGGGCAAGTAAACTCTGTCAGAGGACCCTGTAACTTTCAATTCTAATTATACAAAATAAGAGTTTCCTTTTTGTATTTTACAATGTTTTTGTGCATTTCCATCGAAATGAAATTGATATTTTGAACTGCAGCAACTCTGATTTCGTTTATCATTTTGTTTAAAGTTCCTCTGAGAGTTGAACTTGTGGGTCCGGCTAGAAAAAAACGCCTCATTTAAAATAAAGCGCTCGGCTTGTTTATTTAATCTGTAGCTTTCTAGACTTCTCGGACTAATTTAACATGATTTTAGAGACTTTAAAAATTGTCCATTTCCAATTGAAAACGATAGAAGTTTATCAACTTTTGATTGATTCAGCATCTAGAGAAAGTTGAACTGAAAACGAAAAAAAAAATACAAAAGAAACTTTATTAATTGAAACTGTTATTAGAGAATATTCGTTGAGAAAAAGAAATGTTTCAAATCTAGTTCAAACAGCTTCTGGACTCTCCTGGGTACTTTCCGGAAAGCTCGATGACTCCAGCATCGTAGGTCTTCTTGGCAGAGCTTCCGCTGTTGGTGTAGGATTTTGGAATGTTGACACGGAAGACACGTTGGCAAGGCTGAAAATTGGTTCCTGATTTTTCTGGTTGGTCTGTTGAACTTTCAAATCTGTGTCTCTTTCTGTTTACTGTTTGTTGGGGGTGAATTCCCTATTTGAATTTATTTATACTTTTTTCTCCCGATCAAAGAACGCAGTTTTGGTTTCGGTTAATCTCTTCAGCAAAATTCGTTTTGAATGATGCCCCCTCTGACAGATTGTTTTCCCATAAACCAGATTCTGACTCACCGTAATTCCATCCTTGCAGTCGTGGAAAACGGCAAGATATGGTTCGATTCCAGTGAGTTCCTTGGTCGATCCGCTCAAGTTGAATCCTCCGCTGGAGTCAGCCTTTCCAGATGCCATCTTGTCATCACTATCGAGGAAACCAATTCCAACGCTGTCTAAAAATAATTGTGAATTGAAATGATTTCGAAACAGAAAACCAACTGTCAGACTCCATCAGCTTGACTTTGACTCCGGATGCTGGCTTTCCCTCACACACCAATTTTCCTTTGACGGCGGCAGACTGGGTACGGCCAATGAGATCTAGAGAAGCGACGGATCCAACCAGCAGAAGGCTAAGGAATACAAACTTTGCCATCTGGAAATTTATATTTCGAAATAATTCAGGAGACTCAACAACGGATAATGTTTTCAAAACAGAAACTGTGGATGAGGAGGGCGAGATGAGAGGCAGAATACAGTTCTACCAGTGAAATGATATCATGGGCGGTCCGCCGGGACTGGGAAACGAAACGTGTTGTGTAATAAATAACAACGACCTTGGTCAATGTTTGTCGAAATAAAGAAAACGAGATAGGTCAACAGTGAAGAGGACAACAGAAGTAGTCGTCAAGGAGAGAGGTCTTGAAATATTGAAGGTTGAAGTGAAAATATAGTTTTAAACTGGATGATGTGAAGTATCAAACACAAAGAGTGAAATATGAATCAAAAAGTGAAGGAAAGTCAGAAACACTTCACTTTTATACTAAACAGTTTATGATGCTATTATATGTAGGTGTTTTCGTTTCAAATGATCAATGTTCGAGTGTTCAGTTCGTGATCAAATTAGGTGTATTTCAGTTACTCTAAACATTCTAATAGAAACCCAAACCGTAAACTTTAAGCCCATATAGCTCATTTCTTGTAGAAGATATCAAAAAGTGCTCAACTGCCAAAATTCTTCTCATAGTATCAAAAGGGTTTTAACAGTTGACCACTTCATCATATTTTTCACAGGGGCCGAGATATATGGGGTCAAAGTTGATGGTTTGAGTGGCACTATATTAGAGTGTTTACAGCAAGTTTAAACTTTTGATGATCTAAAAAAATTACTGAACGGGTGTTATACTGTTCAGATCCTGGTATAGATCATGGTTGGCGTGGGTAGAATGTTTCCTCAATTCTCCAGAACTCATTCTCAGAAGACTGATTTTGCATCGTATTTCTTCTGATTGATCCCAATCCACATGATGGCATATAAATCCAAGTTTTTTTTTTTCAGTTCTTGTAACAGATGTGAAAAAGAACAACTAAAAATTTTTCTGTTGGTATGACAGACATGGTCAACTTTTCTTTATATCTTTCTCATGAGCCGAGCTATTGAAAAAAAAATTGAAAAAGTTGTGGTGCTGATCAATAGGGTGGTTCATAATTACCCTGACACAAGTTTGTATTAGGAAAAAATTTGAGTGAAGAGTTGTATTAGACTCAAAGTTGGAGTCCACAAATTCAAATAACTTATCAGTAAAATGACTAAATTTCACACTGTTTAATCAACTTTGAGCTGAGTTATCGTTTGTCAAATTTGGTCCATCATTTGAAAATCACAAAGGCATGCGAGAAACATTTCATCTTCAGACGGTCATAGCAAAACCTAGCTTCGAGGAATTATTTAAAAAATTTTAGTAGCTTTGAATCAAACACAAAATTTTATTTATTTCAATTTTCGTTCTATGAAATTACTTATGTCTAAAGGTATACCCGTTTTTATCAGTCCGGGTAATTGTGCACCACCCTTTGTAAGCGGAAATACCGTAATTTACGAATTATAGCCTTTGAGGCTTGAACTGTTGAAAACCTTTTTCTCATTCAAAATATTTATGATATTCAGCATTTCAGGAACCAACCAAGAACCAGAAATCAACTTTTTTTTCCGGAGAAATCAAAGGAAAGGTCTCATGAGAGGATTCCAAAAAATCACAATTTTTTGTCCCACCACAAAGAATCATTCACTTCCTTCTTTCTTTAGTATCTTCTTTTTCTTGATATTTCTTCTTTTCACAATTTCATTTCACATCCTTTTCGGTAAACACAGAGAAGATAGAATCAAAATGATTCAGTTTGCTTCATCATTCATTTTGTATCAAACCGTCTGTCACAACTTCTGCTTTCTGACTTCTATATATTATGCTTTCTGTTGAAGTTATTTTTTGTAGTTTTAAAGTTTCAGTCGTGAACAAACATGCGTCTTCTCATTCTTTCAATTGCTCTTTTCATCGGATCCACAACTGCTCTTGACCTCATTGGAAGAACTCAATGGGCTGCGGTATGAACTTTTCGATTTTTTAGTTTGAAAAAAAATTGTTTTTTTAGGTAAAAGGAAAAGTTCTGTGCGAGGGAAAACCAGCATCTGGAGTCAAAGTGAAGCTTATGGAATCTGATAGTAAGTAGACTTTTGAAGAAGTTTGCTACGTTTTGAATTTCAGACAGCTTCCTTCCTGGATTCTTGGACAAAGATGACAAATTGGCATCCTCGAAAGCTGATTCCAATGGAGAGTTCAATTTGAGTGGATCCACCAAAGAAATCACCACCATCGAGCCTTATTTGGCAGTCTTCCACGATTGCAAAGATGGGATTACAGTAGGTTCTCCAGGTTTTACTACAATATCTTGTACTCTTTCCAGCCATGCCAACGTGTTCTTCGCATCGATATCCCAAAATCATATTCTAACTGGGGAAGCTCTGCCAAGCAAACCTACGATGCTGGAGTTCTGGAACTCGCCGGAAAGTTCAAAGGGGAGACCAGAAGCTGTTTCAATAAATAATTCAATAGCACTAATAATACAATTTCAAATCATTCATTTTTTAAATCATTAAACACATAGTTATCCAAAATTCGTAATCAATTTCTCGAAGAATTCGATATGAAGGTAGTTAAGGGCAACAGCAGCGACAAGTCCCCAGACGATGAGTAATCCCAGAAATAGGAAGAAGCAAAAACAGTAACATCCACGAGCCTGGAATTTGAAATTTTTTTGTTTCTCACAGAAGCTTTAAAAATATGTTTACTTACAAAGTATAGCTGCTTGGGTTTCTTATATTCTCCCGAATCTTCGCTTGACCCCTTTCTTTTGTTTTTTCTCGCATCTGACACTGAACCCTTTGACTTCTTGCTCTTCACTCCATTCTGAGCAGATTTTGCATCGGAATCCAAGTTGACATCTTCGAATAATTTCAAAGCAGGCGCAGCAACTGGTTTGACTGAAACAGGGACTGCCGCCTCTTCCTTCGGTGGAGTAGCTGCTGTAAGAGCAGCCACAGCATTCTCAGGTGGTACTGGTGGTGGGATGAAAATTGGTGCAGTTGGGGCTGGAGGAGGAGGAGCGGAATTCGGAAGAGAAGATGCTTGTGGAGTTGATCCTGGTCCTTGAGTAGGATCGAGTGCAGGGGCAGGTCCAGAGGATGGAGCCGATGGCGGAATCGATGCTGGAGACGATCCAGGAGCAGACACTGGTGCTGTTGATCCTTGAGTGTCAGATGATTGGGGAGCACTGGCTGCTTGGATCTCGCCCAAATTGATATAGGTGTCAGCCACTGAAAGGAAATAATATTGGTCGTCTGGATGACTAGAACACTCACTTTACGAACTTGATTATAAATCCTAGACCACCAATTAGAAGAAACTACTTGATCCAAGATATGACTTGCAGAATCAACGTTTTTCGGTGTTATAGTTTTTCACGTTGCAGTTAGTTTAGTTCAGAATATATTATACTTATGTGAAGAAAAAGAGTTTATGACATAATAAAAAACAGATTATAACAAGGGAGTTTGAAGTGACTAGTATGGCTGGGGCGTCTTCGCCGTGTTTTCTTCGCTATGCTCCTCAGTCCTCATAGTCAGTCATCACAATTTTTCTCTGTCAAAAAGGGTCACGTCAATCCGTATTTAATTTTTAGCTTTTCAAGAATCGGGTGGACTGACAGACTGCCAAACACAGAAAAAAAAGACGCAATATTATTTTTATACACTCATTTCACATCTCGTTTATCTCTTCGATCCAACTAGATATTTCGGTTCGGAATCATCTGAAAAAGTGAGAAATACTCTAGACTCATCTGTAGATAGTATTCATATTTTTCAGTGGGAGATCAATACTTATGTCTGGACCAAGTCAAAGAAGAAGTAGGAAAAGTTCCACCACCTCCTCCACAAACTGCAAACGCTGTTCCGGTGCCTGCTCCTCCACCACCTCCACCACCCGCAGGGACGTTCGTCAAAGTTCCTGCACCACCGCCGGGGATTCAAAAAGATAGGGACACTTCCAAACAGTATGGTTTTAAAGGGTCATAAAAATCTTATTAGTACTAATTTCAGATCAACAGTATCTATTGTTAAGAAGTCTAAAGCAACGGATGTTTCGACGTCGACCGCTCCTACATCTGAGAAAGAAGACAAGAAACCAGGGAATGCCACTGTAGTAGGTTTATGGTATCACTCGAGAAATTATAGCTCATTAATTTTCAGATCCGTATCATAATTGGAGTTACCAACCTCATCTTTCTGATTATCCTTATTTTCTGGGGTCTCGCTTTGTGCACAGGGCTTCACATTGCAGACGTGGCATTTATCAATAACATGTTTATGGGTTGATTATTGCAAATAAACCTTTTGATCGAATAATTTACTTTTTATGTGATTTGATTTCTGAGATTTATACAGAATGAACGATATTAAAACTACTTTGTTTGAAAGGTGTTTCTTGGTTTTCTTTAATCTTCTGTGTTTGTTTATTCATTGATGAATCCGACCGAGTTTTTTTCGATTCTAAAACCTTTCACAATATTAAGGATCTAACTTATCCTTGCTATCTATAAACTTTGTTTATTGAATTATGATATTCTTGACCGCTAGCCAGACCTAAATGTAATTTGATGCAAACCCAATGTTGTTTATAATAGGACGCCCGCTCCTCCTACCCCGAATGCGTTGTCCGCGCCGATCCTCAAGAGAACCGGTATTTCCTTTTCATCGTATTTTATTGATTTTCTCGGGCGAAATAGAGAAGAATTTTTTCGTCTACTGGTGACTCATTTGACTTATCGAAGTGTATATTTATTGAATTACAAATTTTTAAAAATTAAAATTTCAATTTTTTGAGTTTGGGACTCCATGTTCCGACAAACTTCTCACTCTTTTTTCTCATGCTCAATCTTTTTGGCAAACAGAAAAAATTCTGCTTACACTTCTTTCCACCACTCAAACAATCGCACATCAACCCCAGCACGAAAATGCAATCAAAATGTTACATCTTCTATCCCAAAACATTTCTTGTTTGCCCAATGGTTACCCATAATATATGCAGTGGTCATTTGTATGAAAATGCCAATGCAAAGAGCTCTCTTTAGCTATTCACCCAATTTAAATTCTCGTTGAGATGAGAATAGTCAGAAGCAATTTTATTACCTACCCGAGGGGCTTGTTGTCTTCTTTTTAGCAAGGAAAGACCTTCTCAAAACTTCATTTTGGTGTTACAGTTGAGAATAATGTTTGGGAATTTCAAATTAGCGCTACTTGTCTTTATCGGTGGAGCTCGGTTAGATTGCTATAATTTGAAGTTGAAGCCACTTCGAATTCTATGAAAAACAGTTTTTTTTAACAACTTCCTTCAAGTTTTCTTCTCTCTTCGCGAAAATTACTGATGGATAAGGCCTATATTCCTGTGACAAAAGAAAACGGATCTCAAAAACGCAAAAAAAATAATTCCGCTCAAGACCCGCAAGAAATCTTTTGCGTGCGCCTTTGAAATACTGTAATCCAAAAATATTGAATTCCGGAGAAATAAAAGCCTCGGAAATATTCCGGTCAGAGTTTTCAAAATTTCGAATATCCCTGGCTCAAAGCCTTTTTCAAATTTTATTATAACTCTTCGAAAAATGCTCAAAAATTTAGCAAATTGGCAACGAACTCAGTGACTTCACAAGTAGGCCTCTTATCATTTCTTTTCCGTTTTCTGTAAATAATTGTGTCGATTTCTCTCCTTCTCTCTTCCTCGCCGTCTTGATGTCCATTGCCTCTTTCCCCCACTTTGCTTGCTCCGCGTTTTATTTTCGCAAAGTAAAAAACCGAACGAAGGTCAAAACCAAAATATAAAAAAGATATTCAACACCAAATAGGTGATGCGGAAGTCTAATAATTGTTTGGACAACGTCCTTTTCTGTTTGCCCACCGAAACGTAACGTTGTAAGCTTCGCGCGCTTCGTCTACCGCCCCTCTCCGCTCTGTTATAGTACGAATCCCGAATTGTTGCTCTTTATTTCAAATCCAGAAAATGCTTTCATTTGTCAAACGGTCCAAACCTCCGTATTTCAGAATGCCCGGTGAATTTGAAAGTGTACCGGAGCTGTCAGGTTTGTCTCAAAATATGAAATTTGAATAATGACGATTTCTGTTTTTCAGCGGGCTCTCATCAATTTCGCAATCTGTTGGACGACTTCATGGGGCCAACTCAACTCAGAAATAGTTTCAATGACCTGAATAATCACGGTTTCGAGTTTCTGGGACAATCCAATACAAATTCAAGTTCAAGTTCAAATGTTAGATATACAAATAGTAAAAACCGAGAATCATACCTTGTGAGTCGTTTTACAAAGATTATTGCTTCAAGCTTACTGTTCCAGGATCAAAATATACCGGTCGGAAATTTGTTAGACGGATTCGATTTCATAGAAAAGCCTTCCGTGCCTTATAAGGAAACTCTAGTGGATGTTAGCGACAGTAGGACAAAGCTAGATCGAGATCTGAATGAAGAGGGATTAATAGTGGCACTTCTTCAAAGGAAAATCAATGGTCTTTATTTCAAAAAGAGCCACGAGGAGTATGAAGAGCCGAGAGTTTTTGAAGTGAGATTTTCAAATAATAATTAGCTCATTCTTATTCTGAATACAAGAAACAATAAACTTTGTTTCTGCACCTTTCAATTTAAAATTATTAAATTTCAAAGTTTCGAATTCCAGATTCCAGCTGGAACAATGGTTCGAGAAATGGCTGATGACGACTGGAAGATACCCGAACTGAACGAATGGTACTCGAAAAATAGGTTGAATCGTATACAAGAAAGAATAGCTACACCAATGGAGGTGAGCGAAGAATTTACGGAAATCCTTTAGCATATTTATCAGATTCAGGAACTCGATTGTAATCCAAGGATATGTTCCATGGTGACAAGGACGGATGTGATGCGAATAAGTCAGGATCAGGCAATGTAAGAAGATCGAACAGTATGTTCTTTATTTGTTGAAATTTACCATTTTCAGACATCTTCTGTCTGTGAAGCCTGAGAATCGACTGGAACTATACCACAATATCGAAAGATTCAATTTTATTGTTAACCTGAGAGTTGGAAACCGAGTGGAAGTTGATGTCGTGAGTTTTTTTTTTTTTAATTTTTTTTAACGCGGTGAAGACCGGTTTCTGTTCTAAAAGTAAGGATGAAACAGCGCCTTCAAAATTTCTAAACCAAGACGCAGACAGTAAAAGACAAAATACATGTTTTCTTGTATTCAGACAGAGTCACATGTGACTGATCGAAATTCCGATGACATGAGTAAGGCGATATCATTGGTTCCTCTGAAAACCTGGAATTTCAAAAAAATTTTTAAATAGTTTAAACCCCATAGATAGTTCTAGTCTCTTGTGACTTTGCTAACCGTCCTCCTCATAAACCGATTGCGGTCAGGCTGTAAGTGATATTGTCAGTGAGCGCAAACCAGTTCTTCTCTCTCCCAACAAAACGAACCAAAAAACAACAGAAATAGAGAAGAAGTTCCTCTTTCTCTTACAAAGTATAAGTTATATCCATTCTCTCTCTCCGTGGTCGAGAGACTCCGACTGTTTGCCTGTTTAGTTGTTGCTTTCTTTTTCTTCTTCTCGCCTAACTTGTTTCGTCTTGGCAACGCCCTTCTCTCTTCTCAATTTGTCACAACTGAACTCGCATTGATTGAAATCATTTTGACAAACTATTTTAACCCTCTCTAGTTGTGGTATATATTTCCGTTTTATTTTTCATCTCGACAATACCGAAAACGGCGATGTTTTGTTCGTTGACGCATCCGCTCCGCCTTTCTCTTTTTCCCTTTTCAATTTCAGTTTCATTTTTATTTTTTGATTTTTTTTCCACCCAATCAATGAAATATTTTTGGATTGGGGATGGATTTTTTCGCCTATTGTTGACAAATTATGAAAAAGTAGAGCTCTCTTTTTTCATTTAAACACGAATTAGTTGTTCTGAACGTTTTTTCATAAACGTTTTTTTCAAAAACTTTTATCTTACTGTAGTATTATTCTGATACGAAAACATCGGAGATGTAGAAAAACTTGTTGGCGTGGCTAAGGCTCCTGTCACGAAAACTACCGCAACCTAAAATTCTTAGTTCTTTTTTCTCGATTACTATTGCTCTCCGACAACTATTTATTGTGTTGAAAACCTCTAAATCAGTCGGAATAGAACATTTTTGAGAAACTAAAAAATTGCCGGCAAACGGACAGAAGTCAAGAACAAAATTTGCTAGTTACGGAATTCCGGTCGTGGGTTTTCTCTTCTACAATTCTGATTTTTTGTACCATAAATATATCTTGTTTAGCACAATCAGGGCGTACAATTTTTGAAAACACTAATACTTTTTGAGATGTCTCCACCCACATTATTCACCAAATTCTAAAATTTTCCCTAATTCCAGGACGACACAATGCGCAGAGTTCCAGCAAAAGTCTCATGGATCGGAGAGAGACAACAAGAACCGGGAATATGGTACAACGTCGACTTCGACACGAACGCTTCTCAGGTTGGTCTCGCTAATCCCTTCACTTTCTTACTTTTTCTCTATAACTCCCCCTCGGGGCAATTATATTGTCTCACTCTATTTTTCTTTTCTCACTCGGTTCTCGGATGTCTCTCCAACAACGTCTTCCAGTCCCATTCTGCCCCGTAACTTGGTTCTTCTTATTCAGAAGAAAGAGTGACGTCTTCTGTGTCCCGTCGTGTCTTTTGTGCTTCTATGTCCCTCCGGCTGCATGGCGCCTAGTTCCTTCCTTCCTTCTTACTCGACGTTTTTTTTCGAACAAAACGGCGGCGGTCGCACGGCTCCTTGTTTTTTTGTGAACGACAAGTTTTTTTCTCTCTTTTCCTCTTTTTGTGCCCACTGACAAAACAATTAGAAAACGCTCGGATTCGCGGAGTTCAATGCATTTCAGAGGAAACTATAGTATTTTCTTAAAACTTCTTTTTTTTTAATTTCGGAATGAAAATACTGTGGAAGCCTCTGGAACTATGCAAAAGTCTATTCTGGAATCTATAAACATATTTTCCACTAGATTTCCATATTTGTCTCTCAAATAGGTTTTCATCGGTATTTATGGATTACTGTAATTCTCGAATTTACGAACGAAATTCGAATACCAAAACACAAATCACAGTCACAGCACAGCAAACTTTTTTTTCTAAAAGCCCTTTTTTGTTTAACCAACTAGCAGATATTCAGTTGCCACACCAAGTCTAGTATTTCATCACACGACGACGCGATCCGATAATTGCTTTCAATTGGACCTCGAAGCTTTTTCTTTCTTTTTTTTCTTGGTTTTTTTTTCAGTGTTTCTAATAGTTAGTTCAAGGTTCAAATGTTGAGAAAAAGAAAGAACAAACAAATTTAGTTATGAGCAGTCTCCTAGGAGGATTCCCCTAATATTCTTTTGTTGTGTTCTCCTCTTGTCGTCTAGCACGTGACATCATCATGCTTTTCAGCTCATCTACGAGATACAGATCTCGTTTTGAGACACTTTTTGAGCCTGATTGTTCGAGAAGCAAACAAACCGAAGAGAATAGTCAGTCAGCAGCCCACGTAACGCGCAACTGTCGGGGCTCAATCACTTGGTTTTTTTCCTTTTTCCTCCTCCCGTTTCTTTCTTTTTTTCACTCTTTCTCTCTCTCTCTCTCTCTCTCTTTCTGCTCAATGCCCCTCGGGCAGTTTGGATACTAAGTCATTGCTCAGTCAGCAACAGGGTCCCACAAGTTTTGAGTGTCGTGTCTTGAAAAACGACTTGACACACACGAGAGATTTTTTCGCAGTTTTCTTCGTTTTTGTTTTTTTCACTTCATCCCTTCTTGGTCATATTGGGCATCCCCCTCTTCAGCTTCTTATGTGGCTTCTTCTTCTTCTTCTCCTCCGTTTTCTTCTCAAGCTGCTCCCGAATAGATTCAATATATTCTATTGCTCATTGAGGAGCGAGTGTGTTGGAAGACGAAGACGAAGGCGATAAAAAAGAAATAGTTGTTTCTCTTCTTGAGCTGTTTTTGTTGTCTATTTCGTTTGTCGTCGTGAGGAGCGACGTGACTCTCAAAAGCTCGACGTTTTCAATGCTCTTTTTTCTACTAGTTCGCTCGGATGTTCTCCTCAAACTGCTCATCTGCTTTCCCCCGAATTATTTTCTCTCATTTGTTCATGTTTATCCAAATTTTCATCTAATTCCCCTCATCGTCCCTTATTTTTCGGTTTAGAATGGCTCCTGAAAAATAGTCAAAACTTCTGGAAGACCTGATTAGCTGTCCAATGTTAGTCCAATTTTAGGAATTCTGATTCCAAAAACAATTCTCATATTGTTTTTTCCCGCGAGCATGGGACCTAATCATGTGATTCGTGAAAAAAACAGAAGCGAGTAGAAATATGAAAAGGCTTAGAACAGTTGTGCCCTTCCAGAAAATTGGTTCTTGTTCTCTGGGATTATTAGTGTGGGGGAGTCATCCCCATTTCATTTGCTTTTTCTCGTTCGCCGACATAAATTTTAATGCTTATAACTTCGAAAAATCTAATATTGCCCCGGAAATTATATTAAAAGTACACCGGTTTAGAATAGTATAAAATAAACTTTCTTTCAAAATGATAAAGGGGAAGAAAGAACAACAAATAGTGAGTTTCTATCAAAATCAAACAAAAAGTTTCAATTTTTACTCTTTCTCTCTTCTTTTCTCTTCTATTTTAAACTCACATCGCCGCTTTTTCTACCTCTAACACCTCTTTTACCTGTTAACTCTCTCACATACCACTCCATGAGTTCTTCAATGAAAACTGAAATTTTTACTAATCAGTTGTCTATAATTGGCTGCTCCCCGTTATCATTGGAATTTTTTCCCTTTCAACCAATCAGTTTCTCCAATTCATTTTCTTCAATTTTAGAACTTCTCTCCGAAGCTCATTTGATTCAATAAGCAAATTTTCAGTGGCCATCAAATTCATACTCATCTCATGACCGGTTAAATCGACACTTTGACACAAATTGGAACTTAGACATGTCTGGTGAGTTTGTCTTTTTTTCGATTTCTAATTGGGGATCAATTGAGTTTCTTGAGCTCGCGAATAATCATTTTTCGGAAATTCAAAAAAAAATTATTTTCGATTGATTGAGCTCACAAAAGAAAAAGCCATAAAATTTTGAAAGCTAGAAGAAAAATGAGAGTTGAGCTCAAACTTCTAGAAACCATTGATCAAGTTTTACTATAATAGTTTCCCCACTCTAAAACGTTCTCTGAAAAAAGAGAAGTACTCACTTCCCATTACGTCAATCATCTTTACGAGGTCTTTTTCTTTTACCTTCTCTCCCCGTCCCATCAAAAAAGGAATAAACCGGGACCCATTTTCCAGGATCGTCATCGGTGGCAGCTTCGAATTCACGTCTCTATTACTCTCCCAACCAAATGCACATGCCGATGAAAGGCGGCGGAGTGTCAGCACTCTACGATAATAGGTTGGTGGTTTGAAGCTCATTTTTTCTTTGTCTGCTCCTGTCAGTCATTAAACTTTTTGAAATTTCCAGACGACTGGTGCATTATAACGGAGCAGAGGAAAGCTACCGAAATTCTGCTTATCCAAAACCACCACCCTCACAGGAAAGAATAATTCCGGTGACGAGGCAACAAGCGGAATTTGAACGACCTAGCAGAGCGATGAGACCTCCGGAGCCGGACTACAATACATATTCAGTAAGTATTTTAAAAATTCAAAAAAATTGGAAATCAGTTTCAGAATCATCATCACCCACTTCCACCAGCACCACCAGTGGCACCTCGTACATCTCACTCCTCCAGCTTGAATTCATACGTAGGACAGCCTAGTCGGAGTAAAAGTGTTCACACAATGCAAAGAAACTTATATCATAGACAACACATAGCAGAGCAAAATGAACCGTAAGTCTTACATATCGTGAAAAGAAAAAAAACCAGTAAAATTTTTAGTGTGGAAAGTGATCAGCTGGGTTTCCGAGTTGAGGATCAATGTATTTGGAACAATAATGGAGTAGAAGAACGAGGAATAATCAAGTTCATTGGATTTTTGAAAGGACACAAAACGCTATATGCTGGTGTTGAATTTGTAAGTATTCTAAAGCTCTAATTTGATTTCTATAACCTCAAACGATTGCAGAAAAATCAAATTGGAGCAGGAACTGGAGTTTTCAACAAGGAACAACTATTCCATTCAAAAGACGGACATGCTGGATTCGTTGAACTCTCAACACTCGAGTCAACGTCTTCCACTTCATCAAGTTCTTCTTCTTCTGCACAACATCGACGTCGTCTTTCTTCTTCGCGGAGTCAACAGATGCCTGCTGCGTCTGGGACATCAATCAGCGTTCCAGTCAATGTGCGGCACAACATTAATGGGAAACAAGCTTCGTCAGAATCTCTTTCTGATCCACCACCACCACCATACGCCCCACCATCGCCGCCACGAGCTTCTTCTGCAGCTGCTGCTCATCAGCAACCACCACCTCTTCCACCAAAGCCGATCGCACACGTAGAAGATTATCTGATTGAATCGTATGATATTGGTAAGCGGTTTCGTAATCTAATCATAAGTTGAAAGTGAAAGTTAGTTATCAGACAAACAAATTAGTTATCAGTTCCACAGTATTTAGGAAAAAATTGCTGAGTCAATTGATATTTTTTTCAGGCAGTCATGTGGTAGTCGCACATCTCGGAGCTCAACGTAATGGGGTTGTTCGGTGGTTGGGGAACGAAGTTGACGAGCAAGGAGAACGATTGGTTCGATCGGCGATCGTCCAACTCGACGATGACGTTCCCACTGCTTGGAGAAGAAGTAACGAAGCAATAACATATTGTGGAAGTCCGGTGACAGGAGGAGTTCTCGTTCCGGTGCAAGCTTTAAGACACAACAGAGCAGCATCTTCATCCAGTGGACATTCTGTTCCAATGTCTTCTAATTATCCAACAAGTCACAATACAATAAACAGAAGAACGGAGGAATTTGGAAGTATGGATTCTGGGGTAGAGAAACATCATTGTGGGCCGGCGAAAGATATTCAACAACTGGTCGGAAGGCAAAAAGGAATTCAGGGATACTGTAATTCTTGCTACCTGGATGCGACATTATATGCGATGTTTGTACAAAGCACTTTCTTCGATTTGTAAGTGCCTTACTTTTATTGTATGCTTAACTAGACGCTTTATATTTTCAGCCTCCTCGAAAAATCAATCAAAGGAAATGAGAAAGCTTCCCAGTTTCAGAAAATTTTGGCTCAAGAAATTGTATTCCCACTGAGAAAAGTGCATTATGTGAGAGCTGACCATGTGATGAAGCTTCGAAAGCTGCTCGCCGAACTTATGCCACATGTCACAGGATTGACGAATGAAGAAAAAGACCCAGAAGAGATATTGGGATTCATTTTCTCAGAGATTTTCCATGCGGAGCCATTCATCAAACTAATTGGACAGAATCGTGCGAAGGATTCTCAATATCTTGTTCCGATTGTTGTGGACGATTGGCAAGGAGGGGCTGCAACATCCCAGCATCTACTTGAAAGACATATGCGTTCTGCTCAAGTAACTTTCGCAAAATCACCTCCAGTTCTGATAATGCAACTTCCGAGATATGGACAACAAAAAGTATTCGATAAGATTCTACCTCTTGAGACCATCGATATCACTCCGTTTGTTGCTGGAGCTGTTCCTGCCTGTACAAGTTGTGGGGCATGCTCGGAAGTTTATTGTCCAACGTGTTTTTTGACTAGAAGAGTATTCTATTCGGAAATCATCTTCTGTCGGAAGTGTTTCCATCACTCTCATCTCTTGCCAGAAATCCAAGACCATCAGAGCCGTGACCTATTCCCACCAGCCAAACCAGTCAAGAAGCCACATTCGCACAAAATGGTCCTATCAGCAGTACTTTGCATTGAAACATCTCACTATGTTGCATACGTACGATCATCTACAAATCAATGGATTTTCTTCGATTCGATGGCTGATCGAGAAGGATTATCGGATGGATTTAATGTTCCAGTTGCCAGAGAATGTGGAAATATGTCAGATTGGTTATCTCTACAAGGATGGAATCGGTTGAAGGATGCAGATGAAACAGGGCAGATTAAGGTGATTGGAGTTTTTTTTCTATTTTCACAAGTAATTATCGACTTTTTCCAGGCAATGTTCGGAAAGGCAGCATTGGATCCGCTGGTCGGACGCCTTCTCTCGGACAGCTACATATGTTTCTACGAAGATGCTTCTGCAACCTGTCCATCCTCATCTTCGAATTTGATTAGTACTTTTAAGAATATGATGAATTAGATGATCATCTAGTCTTTGTATTATATGTCATTTTACCTAAATTCAAACTTTTTTTTGTATTCAGATTTTTTATTCGACAGATTTGTAATTATTTCTTTTTTCTCTTATTCTTCCTACACTTTTTGCTTGTATACGGGCTTCAAATTTTTTCTCTAAAGTGCTGAAAATTGTCTGTAATTATACGTGAAATCCCCCTCATAACAATGTACCTTTTCCCTTTTTAAGCCCGGTTGCCTCGATGCGTTTTTTTATATGTGCCGTATCCCAGTTTAAATTTTAGAATGGTGAATGTAATTCAACTAGCTTATATGTTTTAACTCCCAGTGTGAGAACAGTTCGGTGTAGAGTTTTTATTCCCATTTCGTAACTATATGAATACGTAAAACGACGACGACAATAAAAATCTTTTTAAAAAATTGGGTCAAGAAATAAAACATATATTTGATTCCAAGGCTATTAACGTACACGTAGAGAGAAGGGAAGTGATCTAAATAAAATCTGAAATTCAAAATTCGGTCCACTAATGTCTGTGGAAACAAAAAGACTTCCTCCGATCATCCACAACAAACATCTCATCAATTCCGACATAATGATTCGGACGAAGATTTGAAACTTCGAATGCAATCTGAATTTTTTTAATCAATTGTTTTCCTAAATATTTTTTCAACTCACATAATCATATCGGCCTGCTGAAATATTTAAACTTTCCCTAAACCATCTTCTGGAGTTTCTGATCAATTTGGGAGCTTGATAAGTCACGATTTCCTCACTATTTTCCTTTTTGATAACAGCTTGAAAATGACTTGCTTTGCCGGCCTAAACTTTTTAAAATCAAATTAAAATTTTTTAATTAGGTTAACCTTGTAGTACGAGAACACAATTGTAACTGCTTTGTCGACATTAAAAGAGGGAGTTTGAAGACGAGATTTTATTTGTGGACCATGGATGTAAGCATAAGAACCATCTGGAATAGTGAATTTATTTCTGCCCTTGAGATCTACCGTAAAACCTGTGATAGAAGGATCTCCACGCGGTTGAAGTTTGAGTTCAATGTTCTCAATTCCTATGCAATATATCAAAAAGGTTTTAACTGGCAAATCGTTTCTGATATTATGCTAAACAATTTATCAGTTGACAACTTTTTTATATATTTGACAGGAACCGAGATAAATTAGATAAAAGTTAGGAGCTCTTCTATTACAGGTTTTTCGGCATTCGAAACTCACTTTCATTGAATGGAAGAGAGGAAGCATCTCCCTTGACACCGGTCAATGGATTGCCAACTGGTCCATTTCCAATACTCCAATCTGATTGTAAAGCCATATTTGAGCATGCTTCTGATTCATTGAATGAGCAAACAATCGCTTCGCAAACTGTCGAAACCGATGGATCCGAGATTTCGTCATTCACATCGTTGGTTTCTTGACTTGCAGGACGTCGGATTTTTATCTGAAAATTTATTTAATATTTTCTAAAGTTGAACTATGAACTACCATAGAGTTCCTCATAAGTCCTTCATCTGGTTTAGAACTGAAATCTACGATTCCTGTCCTTTCTCCTGACCCTCTTGGAATTCCGAGTTGGAAGTTCATTTCCGGAACTGCTCCAAAAGCATGAAGAGTTTCAAATGATGAGTCATCGGACTCTCGTTTCACAGTCACATGAGAACTTTCCTCTTGGAAGTCATCTTTGGATTCAGCGAGAGGAATCAATGGAATACTGTCGGATCCATTCTGAAAAATCCATTTTTCCAAAAATGCATACTTGTAAACCGGATCCTGGCGGTATTTCGCGGGACCTGCCATATTTCACTTTAGAATTCATATTTTTAGACCAACTAAATCAGATATAATAAAACTCGTAAAGTACTACAAAATGCTACTATTTGGAAAACTGTATCTTATTTATGAAGATCTTCTTCTTCTTTCACTCTCTTCATGAAGAAAGTTAAAAGCCATAATATGGCTAATCCGGACCGACTCGATCCTTGGCTGTTATTTTCGTCTCGTTGTGCCTGTAACTTGGTTCATAGACAAGGTACCGCCATTAAAATATTATCATTATGTTGTACTCATCGGGTTCTATAATATCGTAAAACCTGTATTAGAAGGGCCGGTCCTTCTATTGTTCTACGGTACTTCCGGAGGGCCCTTCAATTACAGGGGCCCTTCTAATACAGGTTTTACAGTATCTGATTCAGTTGGCTCTCACTCACACTGCTATAATCAAATGATTTCTTCTCATCGGAATTACACATTCTTGCGTAATATTCAATTGAGTCAATTATAGCGAATCCTCCTTTTAGGTTTTCAGAATTAAATGTAAAATGATCTGCGATGATATAAATCTGAAATGGAACTGCTCCTTGCTCTGGAATATTGACGAACACCGGTCCCGGATCATTCTTCTCAATAGCTTGGCTGAAAGTTCTAGAACTTCTTTTTCTCATTCTTCTTATTTTTTCAACTTGCCTACAAAAATCGAAGTCCGGGTACACCTTTGAAGTTTTTTTGACACAAACTTTTAGTTGAACCTCGGGAGATGTCCAGTACCTGTTTAACCAGAAGATCAAGATTTGAAAAGGAAAATATGTAATCTCTCACATGAAACGGATCTCTCCATCTCCAACCTGACAAGATATTGGATCAGAAACTAGAACAGCTTTGATCGTCGGGAACTGAACCATGTCGGTGGCAGCAATAGCGTATTGTCCTTCTGAATCACGTATCTGTCTGTGTGTCTGCTTATCCTCCACTCACCTGGTAACACATTTGTGGCAGTGGCTACAGCTAGTCTCGTCTGATCCAGCTCACCAGATCCTTGATACCAATCCAGTTCATCTACAAACATTCCATCTACATTCCTCCATCTACATGATTCATCGAATTCGGAACAATTCAATTCACTTGCATCCATAATTGACGGAGATGATGCAACACCGAGAGCTGAAAGTAAATAATAGTTTTCGAGTTGTACTTCAAAATGGGTCTTCTTACAAACAGACATCTCCTTGTTGGATTTGGCGACTCCGTTCGGAATTCCAAAGTGTGTATTCTTTTCGCCGCGTGCTCGAACACTTGACTGTTGAGGAAACAAGTTATTGTTGGTTACTGCTGGTCGTGATATGCCTGGTTCGGTTCCTGAAGAGAGTTATGAATTTTGAAGGATGGTGTGTTTTTTTAGTTTTGAGAAAAATATATAACTGATTGTTAAAGAGAAAAGAATTCAATAGAGAGCAAATACCGTAATTCTTCAAATAGTAGCCCTCAAACTTTGATCTTAACTATCTCGATTCCTATGAAAGATATCAAAAATTTGTCAACTGACAACATATTTTCGATATTTTGATTAGCATTTTGTCAGTTGAACACTTTTTGATATGTTTTACAGGAACCGAGATATAGGGGCTCAAGTTTAGAAGCTCACTTACTACAGGGTAATGAACCCACCTGAAGACGAAGACACCCCTAACATTGTAGGTGATACCAACAAACTTTCCCTTCCGAACGGCGTACACGAATCTGCAAAACTAACGCCTTATGAATCCTTTTCCGTTTCACTACTTACCAGTTTTAAAAATCGAAACGAGGAAACAAACAGAGGAAAAGAAGACGTCTCTATTCATTGTTCCTCTTCTTTTCGTCTTCGTGCTGATGCTCCTATTAATTTGTATTTGAATACAGAAAAAGTGAAAAGAATGTGTCCCAGATAAACAGAAAAAATATGAATATGATCTACTTTTTGACGGCATCATCCTTGACTCCGCCCCCACCTTCGATTTCTCCTCTTTTGTTGCGCAAGTGCGCACGAATTCACTGTGACAAGTGGATTGAAAAATAGAGGAAATGGTCATTTGAGACATTTTACGATGAAGGGCTTTTTTCAATGGAAAGTGAGGAAGTGAGAGCACTTTTAGTTGGTGTTATTCATGGTATGAATCATATGACTTGGTTCAGAAATACCGTAGAACCTCTAATAAATGGGCCTCTGACCTTTAACTTTGAGCCATTTTTCTCGGTTCCTGTCAGGGACTTCTATTGCAGGTTTTACGGTATTTTGAAAAATCCTAAGAAACACAATTTTGATAAAATATGAACTACAGTAATCCTACAATAGTAATCTTCCTAAAATGGAAAAAATAGTCATGGTGAAAGTTTGAGAATCAAGAGATCAGAACGACTATAGCTACCGTATCCCCTCCACAGTCTTATTCACAAAAATTGTGTCATACAGAAAGTCTACAGTAACCCGTAAAAATAAGGGAAATTGAAAATAAAATTCGATGACTGCAAATTCGGTAATTATGATAGCACGGCTACGGTAGTCAGATTACGGTAGTTGAAGAAAAAATATTACACAAATAGGTACAGGGAAAACAGTTAAAAATTAATATCTTCATTCAGAAACACAGTTTTTTCAATTTTTTCAAACTTTAAGAAAAAGGATTATGAAAAAAACGAACTTATTGTTAGTATGTCCAACGGAAAAAATGTTTATGCAATCGTCCATTTACACAATATCCTCCTTTTGATCCATCCACTTCAGAAATCTTCTCCTCCGACTGGAAACACTGTTTTCCTTTTTCTCTATTTGTTGAATCTCTAGCTTTTTTTCTATTTTTATGAATCCCTCCTTTGTCTTCCCTTTCGCGTAGACCACCTGAAAAAAGAATCCGTCATTAAAATGAGATGGAACGTGGACAACTGATTCCAAAAAATTCCCACGTGATGATAAGATCAGAGAGGGGCTGAACGGTGGGAAATCCAATCAACGATCGCTTCAGTTTGTTGATTTTTCTTCGGAAAACGCTCCACTTAAGGTAAACTATGGTATACAAGACGTTTCTAGACGTTTCTCTTTTTCAGTACGGGCAGAATTAAAGAAACTGAAATGTCGAGAAGGAATGCGACGAGTTTTGTAGATAACACTCTGACTAGTTCAGGTAAGGATTGGGAGTGATTCGAGTAAAGGGGCGTGGCTTAGGTTATGGGCCCCTTGGGAATTGATCAAATTGTCATTCTTATCATTCTTGTCTTCCTTCTATTAAAAACGTTAGAGGCGTATGTTGGTCCTGGTTCTTATAATAAATAAATAAAGTTGCGTCTCTGTCTGTTTTGAAAAGTTCAAGAAAAAAAATGGAAAACGCGTCGAATGCGCGCCAGTAAGGCTAGCTGTATCGAAAAAGGGGCGAGGCCTAGGACTGGTTATGGTACCTATGGTAGCGTGGGTTAGAAAAAATTTAATTGGTTACAATCGTGGAATATTTTAGTCTCCCCATTAGCAGATCACGTTTTTGTAAAACCCTTTTTTATTCGGAAATATATTCTAGAATTTTTTGTGCTCTAATTTTTTCGATAAACTTTTTTTTTCAAAAAATTTTCAACATCTGAAGTTCACGCATAGGCTTTCGAGACCCTTCCCCCCCCTCGAAATAAATTCCTCAGACAAATTCATTTCTACAAAGTTTCAAATACATTTCCTGAATTACTATTCTATTTCTACCAAGAGTACGCCCCTGTTACAGGGATCTCAGGCTCCGGTTCAATGTCTCCACCGATTACATCTCGTCCTGCTTCTGGACAAGCATCACCGCTCTCGACGAATGGATCACTGTCTCCACCTGCATATGCTGATGAAAATGGATCTGTCGTGTACAATGCGGACTCTCCAAGAGATTTGAGTCCTCTTCTTCTTTCGGTGAGCACTCTCCCATAGCTTTTCATTAAATACATATTCTTTCAGGAGCTTGCTTGTTTGAACATGCGTGAAGTCGTTGCTAGACCTGGACTCGGAACTATCGGTCGTCAAATTCCGGTCAAATCCAACTTCTTCGCTGTGGATTTGAAGAATCCAAAAATGGTTGTGATTCAATATCACGTCGAAGTGCATCATCCTGGATGCAGAAAACTGGACAAGTGAGTTTTTTAGAGTTTAACGAAAAAATAAAAGAAAATTTTCAGAGATGAGATGCGCATCATTTTCTGGAAAGCTGTCTCCGATCACCCCCAAATCTTCCATAACAAGTATGCATTGGCTTACGACGGTGCTCATCAACTCTACACGGTCTCTCGTCTGGAATTCTCTGAAGCAACTGTTCGTTTGGATTGTGAAGCCAGTCTTCCCAAGGATAATCGTGATCGTACCCGTTGCGCCATCTCCATCCAAAACGTCGGACCTGTTCTTCTGGAAATGCAGCGCACTCGTACCAACAATCTGGATGGACGTGTTCTCACTCCGATCCAAATTCTGGATATCATTTGCCGCCAATCGTTGACATGTCCTCTTCTGAAGAACTCGGCCAACTTCTACACCTGGAAATCGTCTTGCTACCGTATCCCAACTGCTGCTGGACAGGCTCTTGATCTGGAAGGAGGAAAAGAAATGTGGACTGGATTCTTCTCAAGTGCTCACATTGCAAGCAACTTCCGTCCACTTTTGAATATTGATGTGGCTCACACTGCATTCTACAAAACTCGGATCACTGTTCTCCAGTTTATGTGTGATGTGCTTAACGAGAGAACTTCAAAGCCAAACCGTAACAATCAACGTGGACCTGGAGGACCAGGTGGACCGGGAGGATATCGTGGAGGACGTGGTGGTGCAAGAGGAGGAGGTTACAATAACTTTGGAAATCGTGGAGGACCACCAACCAACCCAAGAGATGACTTCGGAGGAAACGGACTCACTTTCACCATGGATACTTTGAGCCGTGATACTCAACTGTCAAGTTTCGAATCGAGAATCTTTGGAGATTCGATTCGTGGAATGAAAATTCGTGCCACTCACCGTCCAAACGCCATCCGTGTCTACAAAGTGAATAGTCTTCAATTGCCAGCTGATAAACTCATGTTCCAAGGAGTCGATGAACATGGAACAAATGTTGTCTGCTCTGTTGCCGACTACTTTTCCGAGAAGTACGGTCCACTCAAGTTCCCCAAGTTGCCATGCCTTCATGTTGGACCACCCACACGTAACATCTTCTTGCCAATGGAACATTGTCTCATTGACTCTCCACAGAAGTACAACAAGAAGATGACCGAGAAGCAGACTAGTGCCATCATCAAGGTAACAAAAAATCTTTTCTTAGAAAAAAGGCTCTCATATTTAAATAATGTAAATTTCAGGGCTGCCGCTGTCGATGCCACTCAGCGTGAGGAAAGAATCAAGCAATTGGCTGCTCAGGCCTCATTCTCTTCTGATCCATTTCTCCGAGAATTCGGTGTTGCCGTGTCTTCCCAAATGATTGAGACCACTGCTCGTGTCATTCAACCACCACCAATCATGTTCGGAGGAAACAACCGTTCTGTGAATCCAGTGGTCTTCCCGAAGGACGGATCCTGGTCGATGGACCATCAGACACTCTACATGCCTGCCACTTGCCGTAGCTATTCGATGATTGCACTTGTTGATCCCCGTGATCAGAGTAATCTCCAAACATTCTGTCAGTCTTTGACCATGAAGGCAACTGCTATGGGAATGAACTTCCCTCGTTGGCCAGATCTTGTCAAATACGGAAGAACCAAGGAGGATGTCTGCACTCTTTTCACCGAGATTGCTGATGAATATCGTGTGACTAGCACTGTTTGTGACTGCATTATTGTCGTTCTTCAGGCTAAGAACTCGGACATCTACAGTAAGATTTTCAGTCTTTTTTTTCAAAGTTTAGTTTCCTGTTTACAGTGACCGTCAAGGAGCAATCTGACATTGTCCATGGAATAATGTCTCAATGTGTTCTCATGAAGAATGTCAGTCGTCCAACACCAGCAACATGTGCCAACATTGTTTTGAAGCTGAACATGAAAATGGGAGGAATCAACAGTCGTATTGTTGCCGATCAGATCACCAATAAGTATCTCGTGGACCAGCCAACTATGGTTGTCGGAATTGATGTCACCCATCCAACTCAAGCTGAAATGCGCATGAATATGCCATCTGTTGCTGCGATCGTTGCCAACGTGGATCTCCTTCCTCAATCGTACGGAGCCAATGTGAAGGTTCAGAAAAAGTGCCGTGAGTCGGTTGTCTATCTGCTCGATGCTATTCGTGAGAGAATCATCACTTTCTATAGGTAAACATCGAAATTCATCCATCTTTATTTCATCAGAGCATTTCAGACACACCAAGCAAAAGCCAGCTCGCATCATCGTCTACCGGGACGGTGTCTCTGAGGGACAATTCTCTGAAGTTCTCCGTGAAGAAATTCAGTCGATCCGTACCGCCTGTTTGGCTATTGCTGAAGACTTCCGTCCACCAATCACCTACATTGTCGTTCAGAAGAGACATCATGCTCGAATTTTCTGCAAATTTCCGAATGATATGGTTGGAAAAGCCAAGAACGTTCCACCAGGTACCACCGTCGACACTGGAATCGTCTCTCCCGAAGGATTCGATTTCTACTTGTGCTCTCATTACGGAGTGCAGGGAACTTCTCGTCCAGCCCGTTACCACGTTCTTCTCGATGAATGCAAATTCACTGCTGATGAAATCCAGAATATCACCTACGGAATGTGTCACACATATGGTCGTTGTACTCGCTCTGTCTCCATCCCAACTCCTGTTTATTATGCGGATTTGGTTGCTACTCGTGCTCGCTGCCATGTCAAGAGAAAGCTGTAAGTCATTCCTTGTCGAAGTTTTTCTTAAAATTTTATTTCAGCGGTCTTGCCGACAATGTTGATTGTGACACCAACTCGATGTCTTCATCTCTCGCCTCGCTGCTCAACGTAAGATCAGGAAGTGGAAAAGGAAAGAAGTCTCATGGATCGACTGTTGATGATGAGACCTTCTCCATCCCTGACGGCTTTCCGATCAAATTCTCCAGGATTGCGTCTCTGTTGCTGGAGACTTCAAGAGTCGTATGTACTTCATCTGAAGATCCACAAAATTATCCGAACCGAGTTTGTGTTGCTTAATGCCCGTTTTTGTGCCACCTGAATAAAGTGCTGAATCTGTTTTTTAAGAATTTTTTTCCAATGAACCTATGATTGAATATCGATTCAATTTTTTCGTTTAAAGTTTAGAGAATGAGGATTTCTGTATTTCGACCACTTTAAAAATTAAATTAGAGAAATACGGTATTGTCGTTGTCTAAAAAATTTCAGTTTTGTTGTTTAAGCCAATTTTGTGTGAAAAAAAATGTTGAATGAATAGAGTCCTTCGGTCCTTCAGCGGTTGAAAACCTCTGAAGGGCCAACGATGAACCATCGACGAGCCACTCAAAACTGGGGAAAACATGACTTTTTCAGATTTACAGTACTGGCCGAAAAGAATGCGCCGACAGGTAAAATGAGTCGACAGGACTGTAACTTTCTTCAGAATAGAGCTAAAGTGTCAAACTTTTTTGTAAAATGTAGCAAATAACCCTATAAAAAATATTCTGAAACATTTTCAACCAGAAAACAGAAAACAACTTTTTTTGGCGACAAAATTCACTTTTTGGAAATTTTCGGATTTTTTTTGTTTTCAGAAATCTGACGATTATGAATGTTTAACACACATTCTCTGTAGTTTTCGAGCATCGACCCATTGTCTTATGTACAAAAAATCAAACTGTTCCAAATGTGTTGGTGTTACATACAGGTAGTACACTTGAACTTCTAAGAATTTTGAGGATAATTGTGATTGGCTCCGCCCACTTGGATTCGATCTGCAAAACTCGCCGATCAAAAAATGAAATTTTTTATTTTTCGAGATAGAAACGAAATCTTTTTTGAAGTAAACGTATTTTGTTATTTCAAGCAATTTTTATGTTGAGACCAAAAAAAAGGGTCTCATCTTTATTGATAACCAGCCGATTTCCGCCGCCTGTCGGCGGCTACAATCTCCTGGCTTCACTAAAAACGTTTGAATCTCCAAATAGGAGAGAATCAGAAGACGAAGTTTTAGTTGATTGTGTTGTCAACTTTCATAAACTGGAGTGACAGTCTGGTTATGCGCCTTCGGGGCTAAACCTTCTGGCTCCCGCTTACAACACCCTTAACCGATAGAGTTTGGGCTTAGACAGATAAATCAGAAATGTAGATCAGAAATGTGTCTTAGTTGATACACGAACTGTTCAAAATTTCCAAATTTTTAGAACTAATAATTTTCCTGAATTCCCGAATATCTTGAAATTTGGCAACTTATATTTTTTCAGAAGTTTCGAAATTCAGGAGTCCTGAATTTTCGGAACTGCGATTCTAGAACTCAAAGATTTTTCTATTAAAATACTTCATTTCAGAACTCATAATTTCTGAAATTTTGTATTTTCGAGTTTCCGTATTTCCGACTTTCTGAGATTCTACTTCACAAATTCCCAAAGTTTTAACACGAATCAGATTTTCGGAATTTTCTCTAAAACACATTCCTGAGTTTTTGATTCACAAAGTTTATGAATTTCCGAAATTTCTAAATTCCTAACTTGGGCTTTCTGATATTCGGAACTTCTGAGTTTCTGGTTTTTTCTGGTTTTTTGCTTTCGAGATTTTAGATTTTCAAAATTTCGAGTGTTCTAACTTTCAAATTTTTTAATTTCGTAATATTCCGAATATCTGAATTTTTATACTTCTGAATATCCGAAAAATTGGACATTTGAATTCTCTGATTTTCAAACTTCAAAATTTCCAAAGTTTCAAATCTCGGTATTTTCGAGTTCTCGTTTTCCAATTTTCCGAATTTCTGAATTAGAATTTTAGAATTGCAGAGTGAAACGAAAATGTTTGAAGCATAGGAAAGGTTAGAAATTTCGCATTTTCGAAAAAAACAATCAAATTTCGTGAATCAGAATCTCCGAAATTCAGTTTTTGAGAAATTTGAGTATTCAGGAAGTCAGAATTTTAAATTTTACTGAACTTTTTCTTTCTCTCTTTTTTCAAAACTAAGACTAAATAATTATTTCCACAAAATCACTTTTTTGTCAGGGGGTTGGGCGGGAATGACGTAAATATTATTTTTGAAAGATTTGCACTGTAGAAATAGAAGAACGTCTCCAGAAGTCGTCAAACTCGAAATTTCGAAACATAAAATAGACGGGCATCATCTCGCTGCTATTTCGGATCATCTGTGAGAATTTGAAAATTTTCGGTCTACTGGGGACTTCGCTAGGGTCGTGGAACCGGGCACAGGTGGATCGCGAGGAACGTTATATGGGATCGCGCGGTGCCGTATGTGCTCGCAATACGAAACATATAGGGGCGCATCGTGCGAGCATATAGGATTCACGCGCCGACTAAAGCATATAAGATCCACGCCGCCGCCCAGCAATTCCTCCCCTCCCCCAGGTCCTAATATTCTCTGTGAACTGAAAATAATGTTTACCAGTAAAAATTTATTGAAAATTAATAAAAATGTCAAAAAATGAAGTGAAAAGAACATAAAAAAGAAAAGAAAAAAGAAAAAATTATCATGTTTGTCTCCTGGCTCCTTGGACTCGATATTTTTGTCGCATTTCTCCCTCTCTATATCCATTAGACGACAGTCCAATCGAGAAGTTGCTCTTGGTTGTTTTTTTTTCTGAAAAACTGAATATATTTTGAAAATTTTTGATAATTTTACTTATTCACACCGAAAAATTTGTCAAGCCTAGTACTTAGAAAACGAAGCTGCTTTTGCAAATTCGTATACATGATTTATTGAGAGAGCTGAATTTCGTGTGAAGCGATATCTCTAGCAAATCTTTGCACGTTTTTCATCATGTTTCAAAAGCTCCGAAGAACTGGAGTCATAGACACAAGAGTAGAATGCTTCTTACAAGTTCAGTGAAAACAATTTCGCAGGTGTTCTTTTATCGAATAATTTTCGAGCGTTTCAAACACAAAATTCGCTAACCTTTTCGTTTTTCTGTCGGTGCTGTTTCTTTCACTTGTCGTGTGGCCAGTGGAGACGGTGAAGGGTTTAGTTGTCACCGAATTCCGAGCTCCGCTTCTAAAAAATGAAGTCAGTGAGAAACTGAATGTCATGCATGTTTCTTACCTGTAGCTATCCGCCGAAAACTTTTGGTTTTCAGCTTTAGGTAGAAATGTGAGGCGTTGGAATCCATCGGTGGGCCTAAAATAATTATTTCTTTAGGAATTTATGTGTAGAAACCCGAGGAAAACGGCTAGAAACGATGAAAATGAGTTCGCAAGTGAAAAATTTGTTTTAAAAAAAATGTGAAATCGTGAAAAATTAAAGAAAATCGAACAAAAATAGGCAAAAATATCTGCAAATTCATCGAAAATCTGAGTGTAGATTTACGGTAAACAACGTGCGATGCGGGATGTCGGAGCGTCGTTGTGTACTTTTTCAGCGGAATTACCAAATTAAATGGGCAAAAAAATTCGATTCATGTGGAAATATAGAATATTGTGATGTAAAATAAGCAGACAGAGCATAGGGCATTTTATGGTAACATAAAATCCGGATTTTGACAGGTTTTTTTGGAGTAAACGTCACAACACAGCCTGCAGAAAATGTTGAACTTTTCAAAGACAAAATTCCCATCAAGTTTAATGGAATTCCAAGCCTAAAATCCAGCACCTGTATATGTTTTCCGATCATCTGTCTTGGTTAACTACTTTTCACCGATAACACTATTTTTCGATAGTCAACAGTCATAAATACAATTCTTTGAGAACCAAAAATTTTATCCTGAGAATATCAAGAGAAGAGTTTCAAGCTATTATTTCTGCAAAAAACATTTACATGTTCTGTAAATGCTATCAGGTTTCCGTGAAGACACAATATAGAATGATCCACCCCTTCCCCTTTAACTTTCAACTTTGAGCTAATTTATCTGGGTTCCTGTGAAAGATATCAAAAAGTTGTTAACTGACAGAATGTTTTTGATATTATAATAAACATTTTGTCAGTTGATCATTTTCTGATATCTTTTACAGGAAATGATATATATATATGGGATCGAAGTTTACAGTTTGGTTTGCACTCGATTAGAATGTTGAGGGAATATGGAACCTATATGCGAGCACGGACTGGGCATATAGCACGGACTGGGTATATACTGGGCTTTCCCTGCTTACTCGACGCCCACCACCGCCCACCAGCAACCACCAGCCCATATAGAGGGCATAACGAACGCTATATGCGCGCATTCACAGTATGGGTCACAATATAGTGTTCTGCGCGATCCACCTGTGGGGAACAAACGGACACACAGACAGAATTTGGTGATTGTTAATAGTAAAGATCGATTGCTCGACGACGACCTTTCGTATCGGAGGAGTGTCCCAAAAAATACATAAGACATAGAGAGTCCACTTGTGAGTGCAGGTTATGACCTTGACTGGTTTGCACATCACACTCTTTCAACACAACACAGGGACCGAATTAGTGGGATACACAGGAAGTTATAAAAAACTGCTGTAGTTGTTATTTTTGAAAAGGATTACTAATGTCTTTTTAAAAGGGCTACTGTAGTATTCTTGAAAGTAATACTGTAGTTATTTAAAAAATGAGGCTGACTGGAGTGTTTTTTAAAATAAGGATACTGTAGTCTTTTGGAAGGACTGCTGTAGTTGTTTAGAAGAGTATTACTGTAGTCTTTTTGAAAAAAGTTACGGAATATCTTTCTATTTGGCCGATTTGAAAGGAGATCATGTTGGCGTGATAAAAAATAACAATAGAAAAAGCAATATAAAATGGGACGGATTTATTGACAATACACAAGAAGACTTTCTATGGGTTGTACTCGATTGGAAGGTTCTGCGACGGACCATACCGTCTCCTTGGAACCATTCACGACGGAACTGCTTGGCGGCACCATCTGGAGTGTTGGTCCATTCGACAGTGATACGATCGTTGTTGGTGTCCTGTAAATTAGAAATGATCCAAAAGTTTTGGATATCGAATGCTTACCTCTTGTCCATAGGCGAAAGCGTCGCAGGAGACAGCCAAAAGAACAGCCTCCTTTGGGTCGAGGACTCCGCATGGTGGATCGACTCCAAGACGTTTCATGTTGGTTGTCTTGATACCGTATCCAATACGACGAGCCGATGAGTTGATCACCTTGATGTGGTAGGTGTGCTTGTCATCGTATGGTGCGTTGAACACAATCTTGGCGTTGGGTTGGGTTTGGATGTCTCCTGGTGGGACGGATTGAGCCATGGCGATTTTGATTGAGTTGATTACTCGATGGAGATTCTATTCAATCCGTTTCCCTTTTATACCGTTTCTCTTATCTCTAATCTTGATCTTAGATCTTATAAGCTGACTTCACAAAAAGGTTCACGAGGAAACTAATTTTAAGAATATTGGATTTTTTTTTTGAAAAATACCGTAAAAACTCTAATTTAACACCATGGCGCACGGTGAATAAATCACGAAAAAAACACAGCTAGTGTTTGTTGACGCGTTTCTCGTGCATTGGCAAAAAAACCAAAATTCAAAAAGTTCAAAAGGACATGATTTGTTCGTGACCTATTGACCTATTGAGGGCCCTATTGATCAATGAGGGATTTGAGACTCTAGGCATCACTTTTCCCTCAATTCTCCCCCTTCTAGGTCGTTCCACGCCAATCCACGCCGAAGTTTCGCGCCATAAATAACACGCCGAATAAACAAGCAAACTATTTTGGAAAAAATGAAAATCTTCACACAAATATACAGTAATCTGACTATTCTGACTGCTTCAAAACCTATCTCCTCCCTCATTTTTGATTTTACAGGATAAAATTTATATTAAGATGTTCCCCAGAAAATTCTGCACAAATGTTACCTAATTTAAAAAATATACGATTGATGGTATTCGAACAGGTCAGCAAAAACCTCAAAAAAAATTCAATTTTTCAGTTGATTTTCTAAGAAATGTATCTCCTCATTCATTTCTCAACCAAATCGGACGTTTTTAGGCTCATTTTGTGTGTATTCCTTGCCTTCATGATTGTTACCTATTTTGAAATCAAAAATTCCGGCCTAGAATTTTTAAATGACGAAAAAGCTAATTTTCCACTGTATCGAGAAAAGCGCCAAGAAATCAGAAAAAAAATCAAATTTCGCAAATTATTCACCGTGTGGGGTTCTATTTTTCAATACATAGCTGGGAGAACGTTCTATTAGAGGGTGGCATTCAATTAGAGGCTGGCATTCTATTATTCGACATCATAAGAAAAAACTTCGTTCAGGGATGTGGGATGTTTTCAGCATACAAACTATTCAAAAAGGTTCAAAACATTCAAATTTGACCATTTTTAACTATTATCCTTCTCTAAATGTTTCTGTTTGGCCAGTACTGTAACCAACAATTAGAAGGTGAAACGAAAATGTAGTTTTGGGGTGACGCACTATTAGAGGGTGGCATTCAATTAGAGGGTGGCGTTCTATTTTTCAAAGCACTGTTCAGAAAACGTTCTATTAGAGAGTGGCGTTCAATTAGGAGGGGCTATATATTAGAGTTTTTACGGTAGGTCAGCTCCAGTCAACAATATTTCTTTTTTTTGCATCATTGAATTGGTAATAAATGAAATGAAAAGTACCGATTTTTTTATTCTATGTTTCCACTCGATTTCCTATTTTTGCAATTTCGTTGAAAATTGAATTTGCACAGAGAATCAAACATCAGATGCCCTTGTATAAAGTTTCAGGATCAGAAGATTTCCGTTCGGGATAAAATCTAAAATCTCCAGAAACCAAAAGAAGGAACCCACGACGTTTTGATCGTTGTGGTTTCATGTTGCCCACAATATCCCTTTCTTTTCTTTTCTTCTAATCAAATCAACTGCTCCTCCCCTCTCTTCTTTTTCTTCTTCTTTTCGGACGACATCATGTCTTTCCGTAACAAATTCTCTCGTTTTTCCGACCGAGTAGGCGCTGTGCGTACTTTTTGATCATTCCGATTCTCGCCAAATGGACCGAAAATGCTCATTGAAGTGGAAGGCTTTTCGAATAGGCACCACGTGAGAGCGCACCTTCTCTTTCTCTCTTCAAAAAAGAGCCACAATATGTATGGAAAGGTGGGTGGTTTCATTCGATTTCCGCAAAAGTTATTTTGAAAAAACGATTAGGAGTTTTCGCACCTTTTTCGTGTTATTCCGTCGCCATCGACGACAACTGAGAAATTTTCAGGTTCACCTGCTTTTGACACCTTCATCTTTTCCGAAAGAAAAAGTTTAAGGAAGTAGAGAAAAATAGTTTGAAGAACAACCGATTCAAAGTACTTAACAGATCCTTAACGATTATTTTAACGAGCCAATTCTTTTAAACATTCATTAATCAAAAGCCATGTTATTAAAATTTTCATATCAATTTGGATATTTTGAAAAATCAATTGAAAATGTTAGAAGATAATTAAAAATTACCAGGTTACTGTGATTGTTCTATTGCAAATTGTTTCATAGAACTTGCTTCATTTTAACTGTTTTTTGGCTTATCAAAGTTATCATTTTTGTTTCAAACCTTCATTTAAGAATTTTTATAAAAGTAGCTTTCTCCAGATATTATTAATAAATTTCTGATTTTTCGAATTTCTAAATTTTTAAGTTCTTGATTTTTCAAATTCGAATTTTTCAAGTTTCTATGATTTTAACGTTTTTTACTGCGAATTCCAGTTTTCGAATATCTCGGTTTTCTAACTTGTGAATTTCTGTAACGAATCGTTTGAAAGTTTGAAAATTCGAAATTCCAGATTCTAGAGTTCGAGATTTTTATAAATTCTGAACTTCAAAATTCCTGAATTTTCAAGTTTCCGAATTCAGAAATTTCAGCACTTTCGAATTGTAGAATTCGAGTTTGAGATTAGAGAAAACAAAAGTTTGAGAGTTTTTGGAGTTTCAGATGTTTCCTTTCAAATGTTTGTTTTTTTTTTATTGATTGCCCCCTTAAAATTTTTTTTGGTTTTGGTAGGAATGTCTTTTTTTCAGTTTTGAGAAAAATTTAAACTTGGAAATGTAGTTTCAAACTCGATAAGAAAAATGGATCAAACTAATTTTATCATTGCTCTCTAGTTTTTTGAAGGTGTGAAGCACTTTGAGTACCAAAAGATCGTGAGTGGGAGTGATCTCATCCGTGATATCAGAGCTCTATCTGTGTTTTACTCTCTCTCCCACTTTTCCACCACTACCACCCATCGTCATGTGTTGTGATAACCTATCTCCATCCTATGAACTATCCCACTCTCTCTTGCTCCCATCCCATCAAGTGGTCTATATCTCTCTTCCATTTTTCTCTCTTTTGCGAATGAACGTTTCTTCTCCCCCATCTTCTTTTCTTATGGGTTTTCTTATTGTTATTGTTCATCAGGCATATCCATGATCCAGCTTGACAAAGGCGTCACTTTTCTGACCACTCTTTTTATTTTCCAGGTGTCCAAAATATTCCTTTATCGCATTTTTGTTCCTTCTTTTGTGCCCACTTCCTTGTGTAGGGATTCCCCTTTGATTTGTTAAAACTGAGCTGAAAACGACTTCATTCTATCTCGGCTCAAAGTTATTTTCGAGTTGCTGAAATTTGATAGGGTTCTCATAACCAGCTAGCAAGATTATTGCTTTCTACCTGGGTCGTAAAAGAAAACGTGACTTCCGATGTTGCAATGTTCCCATTGATTTTTGAGATCTTGTGAACTGCAAGAAGCCTCCCCCATCAATATATTTTTCCAAGTTCTAATTAACCAGAGGAAGACCTGGAGGTGAGAGGGATCTTCCAAGAAGCTCGGGGATACAAAAACAAAGTTATTATAAATCATCTTGGTTACCAAAGAAAACCATTAGGTATACCAGTGATTCTGAACAATGATCCGATCTGTGGAAGAGAAACGACAGCTACCGTAACCTGAAATATGTTGATTTTTTCTAATTTATTATCTCGATTTTTTGCCTATTTAGTCATTTTTTTCACTACCAAAGTTTTAATTTTCTGGCTTGGAAAAATTCGACGAAAATCAGTGAAAAACAAGAAAATTAAAAGGAAAATAAAAAATATTTTTTTTATTTTGTACATTGTACATTTCCAAAAAATAATACCTATCTATTCCCCAGGCATTCCCAAAAAGACCAAGATATAAACGAAAATGTGTTATGAAACGGAAAATTATTTTCTCTGCAATTATTCTTTTTTTGCGTGAATTGCCGGAACTTTCTTTCTTTTTTCACCTAGACAACCTCCCCGATTTTTTTTCTTTCTTGAAAGAATTTTCAAGTTTTTCCCAACCGCACATTTCGGACTCAACTTGTCCCGTTCTCCAGTTTGACGCGAATTGATTAGACTTCTATTGGCTTTCTTGAACCACTTTTTTTGTTTCTACGAATCAAAGGACGAAAAGAATAGAAGCTGGGACAAAAAGGAAAATAACGAGTCGGAAAAAGATAAATGAGCATCGGCGACTCACAGCGACAAAACGGGCGGTACAGTTGGTATCGCCCTCCCCCGTTTTCCCGTTTTCAGTTGAAAACGAATCAAGAGGATATCCCCGGGGAGGTGTCCCTTTCCTTCCACCCCATACAAAGTGACATTAAGATTTTATTTCGATAAAAACGGGTGCACAGAAGAGAGAGAGAGATATAGATGGAAAAGATGAAAAAGGAAGAGGAGGACGTCTTCTTGAAAAAAGGAGCACATAAAATTTCGGGAGACGTATCGGAAGAAGAAGACGACCCCATTTGTTTGTTCTTCGATTGATTCGAATAATGGACTCCATTTTTATTCGGAGTAGCCTAACTTCCAATGATTTCATTTTCATCTTGTTTAGAATGAATTTTCCTGATTGTTCTACAGTAATCCCAAAACTACGTATTTTCAAAACCCCAATATTTCGATTTCATTCTATCCCATCCGATTTATCATTTTCACGGTTCTCAGAAAGTTCAGCAATTTCTCTCATCAGTCTTTGAACGAAAAAACACGTGTTGTCTGGATCCTTCATTTTTCTTCTTCTTCTTCCCATCTTCTTCTTCAAAAAAACTTTTGTAACCGGACGGGGCGTCAAACGAGAAGGATCATATTTCTGTCGGCTCTCACTCTCTTTCACAGCTAAATTCCCTCTTTTTTCTTCTTTTTTACCTTCAATTGTTTTCAGCTTTCTCATAATTACTTTCCGTTTTACCGCTAATTGCCTCCCAGTGAGCTGAATTTATAATTTATAGAAAATTTCGACATTTAGGAATTCTGATTGTCTTAAGCTTCATTTCCTACAATTTGATTCTCTAGAACAATAATGAGAATAAAACAGGCAAGAAGAGATTATCATGAAATTTCGATCCGGACGAATAGGGAAACTTGATGTTGTTCTTCCGATTGAATTCCACCTGAAAACTATCTATATTTTTTTAATCTATTAAATTCCAATAATCACCTCTCCCGGCAACGGAGTAGTCCATGAAGTATACTGTCTGCTCATCAAAACTTCATAATATTGAACGGAAAAGTTGGAATTGCACAGATCTTCTTCACAACAATCATCACAATTCACCTGCAAAATAGACCAATTTAAACATTTTTTCTCTTCTTCTTCTTCTTCTTCTTGTTCTTTTTCCCGAGATCACTACTACAAGTCATCAAATTCGGTTTATGACTCTTGAGTTGCTCTTCGGAGCCCAACATATGGTTTAAGTTAGGGGACATTTCTCTGTGAGCAAAACATCATTTGGTACGGCTATAAATGAGAATATGGGCGGAGTCGAGGACTGGAATTCTATGAATTTGATGACATCTAAATGGAAATATCCAATTTCCGGTATTTTCATTCAAAAGTAAATATTTTTTTGGTTTGTTTTTGGATTTCGGTCATATGAGCTGCTCATATTCAATCTAGACTGATTTCAGATAAAGCTCAGTTCTAAAATTCATGTTTGGTTGAATCCAAATATGAAAACCCATTTCAAAACTTCACGAAAACCAAGTTGCCGCAAACACTGTAATAGAACGCTTCCTCTAGCTTCAGCTCTGAGCCAATTTATCTCAGTTCCTGTGAAAGATATGAAATAGTGGTCAACGGACAAAACATTTGTGATATAATGATAAGAAATTTATTAATTGACAGCTTTTTCATATCTTTGACAGGAACCGAGATAAATTGTCTCAAAGTTAAAAGTCAGGAGACCTTCTATTACAGGTTTTACGGTATTACAACAATAGGGTATCTAAAAAATGTATCAAAATCTTTTATGAAGCTGGCATAATAACATGAACTAGTTCTATAAAAGGACTTTTTGAGAAGCTCGAAAATGATACAGTAACCCTTTCCAACGATTCACGAAACTCTTGGAATGATCACACCCATAAATTCCTCACTTTATTGAGCTCTGAAATATTTCACCTTGTTTGAGATCCCTCTTTTCTGGATTTTTTTGGAACCCCCAGAAAAAGATCCTCCCAAATAAAACCTTTTCCAACGGAACCTATACTTATTGTCCATTTTTCACTTTTCCCATTTTCCCTTCTTTGCCAAAACTCAATTCATGTACCAATGACACCTCGTGAAACAAGTGTGTGTCAATAAACACAGGTTATCTTCTCGCTCTCTCTTTTTCTCTTTTCATCTGAATCCCAAACGATGTCGTCACGCAACATTTCCAAACGTTTTCTATCAAATTTCCTCTCCTTTTTGCACCCAAAACTTCCACGTGGCTCTTCCTTCTAGGTCAAACTCTCGGGAGGTCACAAAAAGGAACCAAAGTGTGTGAGGGTGTTGCTTCTTCTCCTTCTGTTGGGCAATTTCCCGTGAATTCCGGAAGTATTCGCACGCCTTCTTGCTCCATTCAATCTTTTCTCTTTTGCTCCTAACCTCCCACCTATTTCTAAAAACTCCAATTGTTATCCTCTTTTTTCAACCAATTTCAACATTCTTGCTCATTCGACCGGGATTACACCTTTTTGCACAATAGTCCAGTTCTTCTCTAACGTCGCCTTCTTCTTCTTCTTTTGAACCTTTCCTGCCCGTTTGTTTCCTCTTCCTCAAAAGTGTCCTCCTTGTCCATTCTCCATATTGAATTTCACAGAAATTATTCACTTCTTCTTTCTTTTTGATCTCTCTTTCTCTTTCTCTCCACTCTGCTCTCGAAACGTAAAACCAAAACGGGTCCATGTTCGTATCGCCCTATTTCACCTATACTTATGTTCTTCTTCGTTTTTCCTTTTTCATCCTTCATCCTCTTTTTCACACCGCCCCGAAACCACCAAAAAAAGTGGGTGGGGTTTTCGAAACGTCGTTGGGACGGATGTGTATACAACTTATCCTTGTTTTCCATCGAGGGCTCTTCTTCTTCTTTTCGTCTTCAATTTTTCGAATCGTTGCCACGTCATCATCACAAATTCATGAACAACACACCACCCATTTATTTGTCTAGAAGAAGACCAGAAACTCATATTTCACATTTTTCGGAGGTGCCGTTTTCGGGGAAGACACCGAAAATTATACGATGGAATTTTTGAGATAGGCGTGGAGCTTCCTTTGAATTTTCAGAAGCAGTTTTAGTTGAGAAAAAACCAACATTTACGAATTCAATGAAATGGAAAGCATCTTTGTCATGCATACCGTAAAACCTGTAATAGAAGGACCCCCACACTGTCAAACTTGATTTCAATTATCTCGGCTTCTATTAGAGATATCAAAAATGTGTCAACTGATAAAATGTTTCTGATATTATGATCAGCAATTTATTAGTTGACAATTTATTTATATCGTTGGCAGGTACCGAGATACATTGGCCTTTCTATTACAAGTGTTACGGCAAGCATCCTTTACTATGGGTTCCTTGCACTTGATAGAAATTCAAGTGTAGGACAATACCGAGTTTTAAAAACATCCCAACACTTTCAAAATGAGTCACATTCAAACTTTACTTCCCAACTTTCCCTCTCCTCTCGTAACCCCCTCAAAATGTCGAAACTTATGAACTCAGAGCAGAGTGACCAATTATTCCATTTGACCTAGCAGAGCACCGAAACGTTTCGAAATAGCTCACCTGATCCTGACCATAACCGATCGATTCGCAAAGTTCCGAACAACGCTCACCGCATCCTCTGCTAACACTTGTGAACGCTTTGTTAATAGTATTTACGGCTGTCTGAAATTGACAGAATTGGAACATCTCTTGGCTCATTGAGCTTACTTAAATACTTCATTTCATCTTTATTATCTTATTTTCGTATCTTACTTACCACACAAAACTTTTCCCATGGAGCACATATCTTCGCTGTCTCATCTGGCTCGAATTGAACTAATGACTCGTTCGCACACCAAGCATCTCTAAGACTTTTTGAATATTACAGATATCATCCTCCTCCTTCTCTGTAATTACCTGTGCTCCGGGTCGTACATCTCGTTGAAAGAGAACGAACAACTATAACATCGAAGCGACGAGCCGAGGATCGGAGCCAGGGAGAATAGGAAAATGACGTCGCGTCGAATCATTAATCGAGAACAGAGACAGTGCTCACAGATTCGGCCGTATTTGTATGTATCTGGATTGGCTGCACTCTCTCCGAGAGTCCTTTGTAAGTTCTTAAATGGATTCTAGAAATTTATATTGGGACGAATGGCAAAAAAAGAGTTTGGGTATAAAATAAAACTATACGGCGATAAAACCAGTAGGATGGAAAAGCATGGGAGAGAGAAGATAAGTGACCATAAAAAGGAGCAAAAGGGGAATGAAATGGATAATATTGGGTTGACAGGAAGTAGGCAAGAGTAGAGAGAAAGGGAGAGAGATCTCTCAGTTTCGTTGGACATGGAAAAGGGAAATAGTTTAAGGAACATATGGGGATCATAATAATCATCATTTGTTCTTCTCTCTTCAGCTCGTTTCTGCGTCTGCATCAATTTGATTCCGGGATTCCGACTCTCGGCTCCACCTCACATGAAAGTGGTCCACCTACCACTTCAGGACAACGAGACAACTGATCTTTCACCACATTGGGCGAATGTTTATAAGGTTAGAGAGGAATATAGGAAACGATTGAAAAAATGATTTGTTGTTTCAGGAAATCGAAGAGGCTCGGAAAGGGGCAGGAAGGGCTCTCTTGTTATGTGCAATGGGTATTTCTCGTTCGGCAACTTTTGCTATTGCTTATGTGATGCAACAGGAAAAGTGAGTTTGGAAATTGCCGTTCGAAAATTATTTGAGGTATCAGAAAAGAATCTCGCCGATTTTCTAAAAAAAAAACAAGGATTACTGTAGTTTCCGTCGGACTACTTTAAGACAAAATATGTTCTTTAATTCTTGTAGTTTTGCTCTAGATGCTTTGCTCCTGGCTACGAGAAATTAACTATTTCTTTAAAAGGGTCTGGTATTTATCCAAAAACCTTTCCCATCGATGTTCCTGTCAAGTCTGAGCTCAATTATCCCAAGCCTCCACAATTCCTGCAAGGTATCAAAAATGTGTCAACCGATAAACACTTTTGATACTATGATAAACGCTTTATCAGTTGACAATTTTTCATATCTTTGGCAGTAACCGAGAGATTGGCTTGGAGTTAAAATTTCAGGCCCTTTTATTACCGGTTTTATGGTTGATGTTTTCGACTTCCAACCCTATTTCACTATTCATCTGATAAAACTCCTATCAATAAACGTCTTTTTCAGAAAAACGCTACACGACTCTTACAAAGCCGTTCAACTGGCTCGCAACATCGTTTGTCCGAACGTTGGATTCTTCCAACAACTCATCGATCTTGAGCAAAAGGTACCAGAGTTCATCATACCCATCTTTCTAGTTCTCTCTGTCCTTCTCCTGATGAGCTCTATTCTTTCTCTCTCTCTCTATTTTTCTTGCTCCAACCAGTGTCACCCTTCTTTTCGAATTTTCTATTGGAGCCTTCCTAGTCCCAACGGGACCATTTATCACCTATTCTCGGTGTGTCGCATCTGCGGAAACAGACGACAAACTTGGAGAAAAAAGGATGGAAGTTGTATCGGTCAGAAGCAGAGATTGTGAGAGAGGATGGGTGTTATTGATGAGGGACCGTTCTATTTTTGAGATTCGAGAGATTCAAAAGATCAATGATAATAATACAAGTATCTTCAGCTCCGCGGAAAAGTCTCGTGCAAAATTATTGAACCACTGCCAGGATGCAAAGTACCAGACGTCATCTGGCAAGAGCTTTACGACGAGATGATTATGAGTATGAGCCAAGATGACAGACACTCTCTTGCATCTTGCAATTTGTCGGTGAGTGGATCGAGTAGAAGGGAAAAGTTGGTAATTTATATTTCCAGGCGAGAAGCACTACAAATGATACAATGTCTCTCCGATCACTCAACATGGTGAATGATACTTCAAGGTAATACTTCTGATAATTCAAAATAGTTCATAAGATGTAATTCCAGATCTCTCGCCTCATTTCACTTGACTCATCGTCCAATCGGAGCATCTCCAACACTTCTAGTCCCTTCATCCTCTTCTTCTTCCTCTGTTCGAGGCCCGATTCCACTCCAACGAGCTCATACAGAACCACCAAAAGAAGCATCCATCCTTCCGAAAAGTGCTCTTCGAGACAAGTCAAAATCTGGAGAAAAGAAGAAAAAATGGCGTCTGAGCTTTCATAAAGATGTCGTGTAAATGTTCGAATCTTGAAAGTCCTTCGAATCTTGTGTCTTTCAATTACCTAAATGATCTTCAGAAATTCATTTTCCTTTCTTTCTCGAGCTCTTTTTATGTTTCACATTTTTTCTTTTTCGATTTGTAAGAAACTCAGATTACCGGTAACTATTTCAATAATGAATTTTTTCAAAACATGAGTTTACGGTTCGAGGGATATTCTGGATCGCCTTTTCGGAGTTTTCGGAATGTCGAAAATTCCGAGTTTCAGAATATTGGAATTTCGATAAAAATAACAAACAGATTTCAGGGACGCAAAAAAGTACAAAAGTAATTCCGCTCTAGACCAGCAAGAAAACTGTTCCAGTACGCCTTTGATATATTGTAGTCCAAAAAGCACTAATTCCAAAAAAAAGTTTCGGAAATATTCCCACCGTTCCAAACATTCCTGTATGGAAATTTTATGGGCTTTCTAATGATATAGGTCATGAATTGTAACTTGGAGACATTCTCAGATAGCTCCTAGTTAGTTAGGTACATAGAATGAAGTTTTCAGAACATTGAAACGTTTAAGATGATGGGGAATCTTATAAAACGGAAAAAATATTAGGAACCTAGAAAATAAAATTATAACACTGATTCTCATTTTATGAGATGTCCCACTACCGTTAGTACATGTGCAAAACACAAACACAACATCATAAAACGTTTTATTTTTCAGACAATAGTTTTGCAAAAAAAACTGGAACAGCTGTACATCGAAAATGATCCACTTTTTGATTGAGCTGTTCGCCATTTTATTTGAACCAATTTCCCACTGTTTTTCCGTTCTTTTTCACTCTCCCTCTCATCCATCAACAATTCTCTTTCCGGATGCCTCTCGACCCGTGTATCTTCTTACTTTTTATTTTTTCTTGCTGAAAATGATATGAGATATCAACAGCAATCAACAAACCTTCACTTCCAGACGTCTATCTTATTACTGACAATTCAAGGAGCAGAGTTCGGATTTTTTTTTCGAGAACTTGATTTTTTGCACAGAATGCACCTAATTTGAATCTGATTGTGAATGAGATTAGGTGAGATTGACTGATCAGTCGACTGGTTGGTCATTCAATCTCGATTGAGAAGTCGTTGAGAAGTCGAAAATCGTTCTGGTATGTCAATTCATGTTAATTTTTTGTTTTCTTTTAATATTAATTTGAATAGTTTTTTCCTTCTTCATAGATTTCTTCATTGTTTCAAGCATTAGGCTTGAAGGATTGTATTATAGATCCATTTTTAATATACCAAACACAATATTCAATAGTTTACCCTAATTGGGCTGACTAGTGGTCCATTGGAAGGTTCTTGCGACAGACCGTACCGATTGAGTACAGATATTGAGAGATTTATAAAAAACAAGTGTGATAAAAACCGATTTTATTCATTTTACAAAAACCGAAGGACTCTCTTTATGGGTTGTACTCGATTGGAAGGTTCTTGCGTCGGACCATACCGTCTCCTTGGAACCATTCACGACGGAACTGCTTGGCGGCACCATCTGGAGTGTTGGTCCATTCGACAGTGATACGATCGTTGTTGGTGTCCTGTAAATTAGAAATGATCCAAAAGTTATGGATATAGGATCCTTACCTCTTGTCCATAGGCGAAAGCGTCGCAGGAGACAGCCAAAAGAACAGCCTCCTTTGGGTCGAGGACTCCGCATGGTGGATCGACTCCAAGACGTTTCATGTTGGTCGTCTTGATACCGTATCCAATACGACGAGCCGATGAGTTGATCACCTTGATGTGGTAGGTGTGTTTGTCATCGTATGGTGCGTTGAACACAATCTTGGCGTTGGGTTGGGTTTGGATGTCTCCTGGTGGGACGGATTGAGCCATGGCGATTTGGATTGAGTTGATTACTCGATGGAGATTCTATACAATCCGTTTCCCTTTTATACCGTTTCTCTTATCTTTAATCTTGATCTTAGATCTTATAAGCTGGCTTCACAGAAAGGTTCACGAGGAAACTAATTTTAAGAATATTGGATAACTATTTTTTTTGAGTAATAGGTCAGCTCAATAATGTAAAGTGATAATAATTTCAAATATTTATGAAACAGGCTTATATTCCAACAGTCAACTCTCAGAAAATAATTTAACAGATAAACTCCTAGCTATAATATAGTTGGCTAAAAATAAAGAACTTTGATCCGTATCTTTTTAATTGAGATAATAGCAAAGCCAATAGCTTGATGATCATTATTTTCTTCCTATTACTTTTTTTAGTTTTTTGTTGTTTTAAGTAACGTCATCATTATAGTATGAATATCTTTTCTTGAATCGAAAAAATTTTCTTGAACCCTGTTCTCTTGAATCGTCATTGTGATTTCTTTGATTTTTGTCCTTCACATGGAAGGTCTAACTTATGTTAATTCAGTTCCTCCATTCGCTATTTGGAACGGAAAACGGTAACTATCCATGTCTACGAAACTTAAAATTTTACAATTTTCGAATTTTCGAAACTTTTTTTCGATTTAAAATAGAATTTGAGAATTTCTGAATTTTTTTTCGATGTTTTTTCGTCATCACAGTTTCATGTTTTACATAGAAGAGAGACAATTTTTCCAAAAGATGGTTCAAACGGTGCCTGGTAGTTATCCATATATGAAAATGTTCTTAAGAGAAGATAAAGTTAGACTTCTGATTCAGTCTAAGTACTAATGGTACTCCCGATATCCCAATGATCTTTCGAGGCCTTTTCTGTGGCAGTGTTTATGTCTTGAAGCCATTATTCAAACGCCAGCAATGCAAAATTAGATGAAACGTGCATGGCACATTTCTCCGAGGAATTGAAAAAGGAAGGAATGAATACCCGGAAACTCCTCAATAACATCCTGATTAGCTCTCAACTTCAAGCATGTAACAAATAGTCTATTATCAAATTTTAACAACATTTATCAAATGTCAAATCATTCCTGTTTCTAGAAAAACACCGAATTCTGGCACGTAAAACCTTCGTCATTTCCCTTCTTCCGCCCGCCCATTCCTTCGTTAAATTCGAATTCAAATCGGTGACCCAAATGACGACCAAACATTAGTTTCTCTTCGAGTTTCAGAAGCGGATCGAATGGAATCGGATGGCAGCACGTGGCGGCTCTTCCGTCGTTTGTTTGCCTGCTCTTTTTTAATTTCAACCCTTCCCTTCGTTTGCTTCTTTTTTTCAATACTACTCTTCTTGCCCCTTCTTTCCTTCTTCCATTTGCCTTTTCTACGTGTATAACTGAGGAGCATCGTTTTGCTCTTCCTTACTTGTGATTAGCATACTCAAGCGGTACTAAAAAAATAGAGACCATTGTGTGTTGTGCTAGTTTGTGTTTTTTATTCAGTCTCCAATCCAAACTATACATCCTCCTATTTTTCCATACTTCTCCTTTTTCTCTTTTGTTGTTTCTTGTCTTGTTTTGCTCCTTCGGAATCATCCTAAAAACCACGCCTCTTTTCAAGCTTTGTTTACCCTGTTTACCTCGTTTTCTTCTTTTTCAGAACCAAAAAGAAGAAGGTCCAGAAAAGAAACAATGATTGAAAGGAATGTCACACTAAATACCTTTACAGTTACTCCACTGACATACAGGTTTGTCTTTTTGTTTAAATTTCTGGTCGATTTTTTCGTTGAACCAATATTTTTCCGAATTTTCTAGGAACAGGAAACTTATTAGAATTTTTTCTGTTTCCGCTATTTCCGACATTTTTTCTGTGCCGATTTTCTTTTTTGGGGCATATTTTATTCAGAGTACCGTATGACCTGCAATAGAATAGCCCCCACACTGTGAAGTTTGAGTTTAATTATCTCGGTTCATTCAAAAGATATTAAAAATTGTCAATTGAAAAAATATTGGTAACCAGTATGTTTGCCGCGCCTCCGGCGCTTCAAACAGTTGGCTGATACGCCTTCTGAGCGATTTCATCTTTGTTTTAATTTTTTTCGTCGCTTCGCGACTCACTCTTTTTTGAATACAACGCCAAATTATATTTAATTTTTAAGCTTTCCAAAAATGTGTGGACAAACAGAGAAATAAAGAGACGCAACTTCATTTATTTACTACCAGCAAGCTGGTGCGCCTTCGGCGCGAATCAATCCAGTTTTTTTTTACTGATTCGTGGCTCAGCTCTAGCGTTTTATTTATAAGGAAGATATTATGATGAATAATTTATCAGTTGACAACTTTTTTATATCAGTGACGGGAACAGAGGAAAATCGGCTCGAAGTTAAAAACTAGGAGGCCCTTTTAAAAAATCTGTACTTGAAGAAATCCTTCACTTTCCACTTTTAGTGAATTTTTCTCGGTTTCTTCAAAAAACATCGGGAATTTGTCAACTACTGAAATATCGTTGATATTATGATAAAAATTTTATCAGTTGATGACAGATTTTAGGTTGCTCTTGTAGGAACCGAGGTAATTGAGCTATTTTTGAAAAACACTAGAATCAGATTGAAAGTTTTGGAAACAAAAATTTGTAATAGCTGAAATTTCAAATTATGGATGGGAACTTTTTGGGTCCAATACTTCAACTGTATACTTCATCTAACTTATGTTTCAAAAGACTGTTTTGTACTCACTTCCGAATTCATTATCAACGATACAGTAATCTCTATCGATCCAATAGTAACCCACTTTTTGAAAAATTCGGATTCGTTTTTTTTTGCAAAGTTTATTCCAAACTTCATACAGACTTTTCGAAGCTCATCAAACATGGTAACTCAAAACTTTTAGAATACATTTTAGTACATTTTAGGAATACAAACTTTGTGTTTTCGGATATTGACATTATTCAATCCAAAGTACTTCAATGTTGACATTTCCCTCTAATGAAGCAAATCAGGAAATTCGATCAAACTCCATCTTTTCCTTTACGATTAAGATTTAAAGAACAACAAAATAAATAGAAAATCTTTCATTTAAGGACACTAATAAAGTCTAAGAGATCTTATTCCCAAACATTTCAAGAACCATAGAATTTCATTTTAATATCCTTCCAGAGACCGCATCACATTCGAGTTCAGCGTATACGGAACATGCGTCGTTTTCAATCTTTTCCTCTGCATATTTTTTGTTTGTCGTCCACATCTTCTTAGAACTTTCAAGGTATTCTTTTTCTCATTATGTACTTCGATCCAGAAAACGAGAAAAGAAGGAAATCCGAGATCTAATGAATCTGGGAAGAAGCTCTAGATATGCAATGTAGAATCATTCTAAACATTATAACACAAGGCAACCATAACCTTCAACTTTGAGCTCAATGATCTCGGCTCCTATGAGAAATTTCAAAAATGTGTCTACTGATGAAATATTTCTGATATTAGGATAAACATTTTATCAGTTGACAACTTTTTTATAAATTCTGAAGGAATCAAGATAATTAATCTCAAAGTTAGCGTTTCGGAAGGGCTTCTATCACAAAAACTACGGCATGCAGCTTTGTGATTTGAGTTTAGCCAAAAACTGGCCAAACATTGAATCCCAAATGAGTTTTCTAATTGAAATTATGTCTTGAATTGTAACTCGGAGACGACTCCAGGTTAGTTCCCTAGTTAGTTTGAATGCTACAGGGATCATAAACCTGATGAGATTGTTTTTTGTAATCAGAAACTTCTTAATACAACAACCTGCTATGGAGTTAGAGAGAAAACACCTCAAAAATCCCTACAAGTATCCCAAAATGTTTTGATTCCAGCCAACAATATTCTTCGTCACCCTGGGAACCTTTGTCCTTTCCCTTCCTCTATTTTTCCTCCAATTCTATCTCGTTTTCTTCCTCTGGTCGCTCGTTGAGCCCCGATACACAATCGCAGTGTGCACTTTTGTAAAATGCATCACCAGTTCCACAACATCTTGTGCTCAGGTACTTCCTTTGGTAAGAAATGGTATCTCCGTGGGAGAAAAGAACAAAAAAGGATTGCAGCCAGTAGCCATATACCGATACTTCATTGTCGTCAGAAACAGAAAAATGCCATCGTGGTTTGTAGTCGTGGTCCATTCGTTCATTTCGATTGTCTTTGTGAGTAAAAAGAACCAAAAGAGGGATTAAAATCGAACAACACTTCGTCTTCATTTCCCTCTTGAGGGTAGAAAGTCGAAAGAAAACAAAAACAACAATATTTTCAGTTTGTGATTGCTATTCTGAACTTTCCATTGGGAGAATTTGAAACAAATGACCAATGTGCAATACTTCGATTCAGTAAAGTAATGGAAGCAGTTAGGGTAAGAACTGAGGAGTGACAATTTGAACAACTACCGTGAAACCTGTAATAGAAGAACCCTTTTAACTTTTAACTTTGAGCCCATTTACCTCGGTCCCTTGGAAAGACATCAAAACGTGGTCAACTAAGAAAATGTACTTTATAATACCAAAAATATTAAGGTCAGTTAACCCATTTATGATATCTTTCACAGGAATCAAGATAAACTGGCTCAAAGTTGACGGTTCTGGAGGGGTCATTCTATTAGAGTCTTTACGGTATTTCAAAAGCTGTCGGATCAGGAAGAAAATGAAAACAAAAAACTAGACACCTTCTGAAATTCTTGTTCAAAAAAATTTTGCACTTCAAGGGCCTCACACTTCTTCCATTGAGAAAATTCGTAACAGATGAAAGAGGCAACAGAAAAAGAATTTTTTAAACTTCTACATTTCACTCCACTTAATAAATCTTATTGAAAACTTTGAAAATGCATTTTTTATGAAACTACCGTTCTTGAAACTTCTTCGATTTTTGGGAAAGTTTTCAAAGCTCAGAACATTTCACAGAAGTTTCAATTTCTCAATAAACTCGATATTTTAAAGAATTTGAAATCTGAAATTGTTGTCATTTAATTTTTTTTTGCAAGCTGAAACTTTTCGAATTCTAGAAAAATTGTTTCTACACAGAATTGGTTCAGGGAACAAGATATAATTATTCATGCATACACTAATCAGCTCATCGCCAATTTTTTTTCCAGATATCTCTAACTCTTGGTCTCAATCTTTTCGCTGTGCTCATCAACATAGCAATCTATACATTTGTCAAAAAATATGACAAGAGGAATGTCGGTAAGTATTCAAATCTGTGAAATTTTCACTTTTTAAAAATTGCAATTCAGATGTTCATCGTCGTCGAGTTCAATTGACCTATTCAATGCTTTTGCAATCCATGATCCCAATTTTGGTTTCGATCCCATTGCTCGTTGGTTCTTTTGATTTTTACTTTGGTGAATTATATAATGAAAGGATTAAAAATCTAATCCCATTCGAAAAGTCTAATCCCCATTGGCTTTTTTTCAGGATACACCCTTCCGTCTGGTTTCACATCTCGTTGGTATGCTACAACATTCCTTTCTCCATTCCTTACACCCATATCTTCAATGCTTTCACTTCGAACAATTCGTCATGAATTACTATCAGTTTTACTAAGTTCTTCAATATTCAATGGCACTCGAAAGATCTCAAATTTGGTGACAAAAACGAGCAAAACAAATGCAGTACCACAGAGTTCCGATTATTCTGCTGCCTAGTGCTTCGGTTTCTCTGTCACCCTATTTCCTTGACACATTCTCTCTACCTCTTCCGTAATAAAGATTTCCGTTTTTCCTGCGTCTATTTGATTCCATAACAACCAAGCCTTTCTGAAATTCTAGTCGCTTTGTGACTCAATTTTCCATAACACCACATTTTGTGTGTTGTTTTCAAAGTATGATGCTTTGCATGTACTTTCTCAGCTTTCAGAAGCTGTAAGATATAATTTTAGACATAAAAATTGCTGAATATGACGAGAAGATGATACAGGATTACTGTAAAACCGGCAAAATTCGAAAAACTGCGGAAATTCTCGTGGCCGTGAACGGTGAATTTTCTCGTCCTCTGGCCGGCGTACTCCCCGAGGACAATTAATTTTTTATGAGCATCCTTTGGATGCTCGTTCACTTTTGTTCTCAAGTTTTTGGTCAAAACATTTTTGTTTCATTCATTTTATAAACTCGTCTTAATCCTATTCAAAAGATAAAATATAATCCCCCAATAAAAGGTGTCTTTATGAAATAAATGCCTTCTTTATGAATAACTTTTTTGTGGGACGGCTGAGTTAGTCTGCACTAAATAAGACAATGTTTGAACAGTGTCCTTCCTGCTGTGTCTTTTAATGTAAAAAGACCGCAATGCCGCCCGATCTCTGCTTGTCTGCTTCTCGTTTTTCTTTCTCTTCTTCACATTTCTTGCCTCCTGATGATTCATCACTCTAAACTTTTACAGCTTCCCTTCTTTTCCTTCGTTTTCGTTTTATCTAGCTTTTGAGTTAGAGAAAAGCCTAATTGCGGAGAACTCTTCGCTATCTGTTTTGCATGAAAACCAACTTCTACTTATCGATTTCTTCAAAATTTCTTTTTTTTTTAAATTTCGTTTTCTCACTCAATTTGTTTTCAGTCCGGCGGGTCCATAATATCGGATGTCTTGTCGAGATTGTACAAGAAAAGGAGGATGTGTATACACAACATTTTGGGTAATTTTTTTTAAAGCTTCAATTTGCTGTTTCGAAATTTTTCCATTCAATTTGACTCCTATAAAAATTACATCAATAGAAAAAAAACAACTATGCGTTGAGGGAAATTATTGGAGGAAATTGAAAAGTGGAAGAATCGAAAAGACCCCAAATGAAAAAGCGATTCAGTTTCCTTCTCGAAATTGAATTGAATTTTTTCGGGTCGGACTCACATACGCACTGATACTCTTTTCTAACGCCAATTCAACGCAATCATCATTCTTGAATGTCCGTTGTCAGAATGCGTCGTTGATGATAAGGATCAAAATTGTGAAGCGAATTGATATCTGTTGCGTGTTGCGGTTGCGCGGTCTTGCCGAACATGACCCAAATCGAATTCTGACTATTACTAAAACTACTGTCTCTGTGTTTACCGCGCCTTGCCCAGACATACTTTGTTATTGCGACAACGCGACGTCAACTTTCTAACTTCTAATTGAAAAAAATCAGCTGTCCGCACCTATGTTTGATTTATTTGACAAAGTCAGGTACAAAATTGACGACATATTGCTCAAATACAAAGTAAGACAGCTGAAGATAATTCCCATCTAGTTCGCTCTGGAAGAATGCATTCCAAAAAATATTTTCTATTTCAGTTGGTCCGATTTCTACCTGTCGTACTTGTCACACTAGCCACTGCATGGGGAATCTATGCTTACACCTACGAACTATGCATCCGTGAGTGTTCCTTTAATCCTTGCAAATTCACATAAAAGTTTACAGTCTCAATCGATAACTGGCCGCAAAGGATAATCTACTTGATCGTATTCTATACTCTACTTGTTCTATACTACACATCATATCTTCGTACAATCTACACAAAAGCTTGGCAGCCACCTCCAAAGGAAAGCTAATTTCTCTCATCAAGCTATAATTTTTGAAATTTTAGTACTTCCTGGAAGGAGTCGCCAAAACAACGTATGCCACAGTGAAGGATGATGAACGGCAGTTGCAAGCATTCCTTGCAGATATCGCCCGAGAAAGAGAGTTGACTCTGCTCGTTCGAGGGTTCGATCACGGTATTCGGTTTTGTGATAAATGCTGTTGTATCAAGCCGGATCGATCTCATCATTGCTCCATGTGTGAACAGTGTGTGCTGTAAGTGATATGATATATTGTTTTCTCCTCGATTTTGCGAATTTTTTTCAGAAAGTTCGATCACCACTGCCCATGGGTTAACAATTGTGTCAACTTTGGAAACTACAAGTTCTTTCTTCTGTTCTTAGCGTCCGTAAATCTTTTCTTGGTATCAATAAAAAGTAGTAATTTCAGATACGGCTTTATCTTCTGTATATGGATAGCTGCAACAACTCTTCCGTCTTTCATTGACTTCTGGAAGCATGAATATAATATGAATAAAAAGGTAGGTGAAGCGTGTGTTGTGAGCATAGTAGTGGATGGGTGGCTCGACGAAAAGGCGATGTCATTTTAGCTGTACGACGGCGTCGACTCAATAATCACACGCTTCCTGAGACATTTACATGCAGTGCTCTCGGTTTTCTAACCCCTCTATCCAGATAAGTTCATAAGTAGACATAGTATCTTTTTTCAGACCGGACGTTTCCCTCTGGTATTTCTTCTGTTTCTCTCGTGCATGTTCTCGCTGTCGCTCTCCTTCCTTTTCTTCTATCACCTTTATCTGACGGCTAAAAACCGAACGACTGTTGGTAAGTGTCCGTCTATCGCCTAACTTGACTGAGCCAGTATTATTTTCAGAGTCTTTCCGAGCCCCGATGATAGATGGAAAGTATGCCAAAGACGCATTCAATCATGGTATTCGTGCCAACTATCGAGAAATATTTGGGTCTCGTCCACTCTACTGGTTTCTTCCAGTTGCCAGCTCGTGAGTTACTGATCATATTTTCGTATTCACATCGTAAATGGAATATTAGCAATAGAAGGAGTGAACTGGCTTCAGTTATTAGAAGACGTTAGTATGAATCCTCTCACTAGCTGTACAAAGCCTCGTGTTCAAGTTGCGTTCGATACTACCCTTCTCAACCCTAATGTGCTAGCTTTTAGTTTCACCCTAAATTCTCTCCTTTTCAACCACTTCTCTCTCACCCGTTTCCCTGCTATTTCTGTAATCTTTTTCAGACTAGGAGATGGCTGCAAATACAAGCTGAATGACATGGTTGCCTCATCTGGTGGCAGTCAGGTCTTTGTAGAAATGGGCGGTCTGGGAGCAGGAAGTGGTCATGCACGTCCTCCTGTTGTCTCGCAACATCATGCGGATCTATATGCTGCAACATCGATTGAGAAGAGCGAAACTATTGAGACTGAACAGAGGTCAACGTCGTCTGTCACAGCTTCGCAGTCGCATGGTTCATATTTTTAACTCAGTTTGTTCCGTTTTAGAATTCAACTTCTTCTTTTTGGTCTGCCGATATTAATTGTTTGAAACCGAGTGCATGGTAGCGAGAGTGATTCAACCAACACTAATGACTTTACTGATAAAACGACAGAGGAGTTATTTATTTTAATTTGCAGACTCGGTGATGGCGTAGAATTCAAAAAGTGGACAACTGAAGCGGCGTTAAAATCTCAAGGAAGTCGGAACGGAACGAATATTGGGCCACTTCGATATCGACTTCTCGAACAACGAGATGAAGCAGAAATGCAACATTTATACAGTGACGACGAAGACGATGATCTGGATCTCAATGTTCGAGTCGTCTGATTTTCCTACTATCTGTCTATTCCGCCATTATTACAATACTTACTCTCACCATGTTTCTATCTTCTCATCATAATGATCTTATTCTACAATTGCTCCAAAAACTCTGATTTCAGGTAGCTCTAATTTAATTGTTTTATCAAACTTCATGCGGGTACTAACTTTGATTTTCACCTATTTTTTCAGTTGTGATGATGATTCTGTTCTTCTCTCCTACTGTTTTCCCCTACTCGTTGATTTTTTCTGTCCCGCTGTGTAATTTGTTTTCCCAGTTTTTCATCAAAGTTTCAAAAAGAAAGATTAAATATTTATCAAAAATATGTATTCATTTAGTCATCATCATCATCTTTAGATCTGAATTTGTCTGCAATCCATCTAGTTTTGTTCTGAACTTCTTCTTGAGCCAAATTGAAGCACATGGCGAGGAGAGCCATTCCAAATAGTAGATAGATACTGGTTATCACTAACTTCTCCTGTGCTTCATCCGTATTACTGACAGATGTGCTTGGGAACTTGTCTCCGAATCCTGGAAAATCAAAATTGAACAAAAATGAAAAATTCGAAATAATGAAGGACTCACCAATGGTTGTGAGTGAAATGAAACAGAAATAGAAGCTCTCCAAGAATGTCCATCCTTCCCAAACTTTGAAAATAGTTGTTCCAACTCCCAAATATCCAAGCATTGTGAAAACGACCAATGAAATTGGAACAGTCACACTTTCCAGCTGAGCAGCCGCTGTTTCTCGGACCTGGAAAGAAGTAATACTCGGATTACTGTAGTTCTTCACTACCTCTAACTGTTCCATCTCCACTCGAGCAGTTAACAAATCTTCAACATCTGCACCAGCACCTGTATTTTAATATTCCCTTCTTTCATTTTTCTCCCAACTTTTTCTCACCCAATCCGAAAGAGTCAACTGATGAATCAGTTTTGACACGATGCCCTCTTGTCAATCGAGAAACCAAACTGTTTGCTCTTCTGATTTTTGCCGCTTTCCTCTTTTTATGCCAGAGAATGAGTCGGAACTTTAGACGTATAGACTGAGCGTAGAGAAACCTGAACATTGCTGATAACACCCATCGGAAATTAAGAAGTCATGTGGTTAAGGAGATTGACTAGAAATCAATTGGGCTCTGCCCGCGTAGGTTCGAATCCTGCCGACTGCGGATTTCTTTTTTAGAAGATTAGGTTTTTTGGACATCGTTCTTTTATTATGCATCAACCTCAAATACCGAATTTCCAAAAATGATAGACGCCTACCCGAACTTTCAACTTTAAGCTCAATTATCTCGATTCCTGTAAACGATATCAAAAAAATGTCATCTAACAAAATGTTTACTATAATATCAAAAATATTTTCTTAGTTAACTACTTTTTGATATCTTTTACAGGCAACGAGATAAATTGGCTCAACGTAGAGAATATGGGTAACATTTATTAGGTTATGGATAGAATAGAACAAAAATTTTGATTATTTTTTCTTCAACAACCCATTTTTAGGCGGTACTGTATCGTATCTGAATCGTACCTGAATATTTTTGCCATCACATCTCCAATGTTGGTCAGAAAAAGAAGCATGAGTGGGATACCAATTATGGCGTAAAGCATAGTCAACGTCTTCCCAATATAAGTTTTCGCTGCAGTGTTTCCATATCCTAAAAATGATGAATGAATTCGACTTAATCAATCCTCGCACCAATAGTTGTGATGACAGTAAGACTGTAGAGGAAGGCACCAGTGAATGTCCATTGAGCCTGTTTACCGTATTCCTTTCCATCATAACCTTTTCGAATTGATTGCATGCAAACTGTTTTGAAAACTTTTACCTGAAAATGAAAAATAGTTTACATAGTTCGAAATTTCAGTTTACCTCATCTAATACAGTATTTTTCCACTGTTTTGAATCCAATCGATTCACTCGGAATGTTGCATTCCAAACTACATCCACAGCTCTCTCGCGAGCTGCTTTCACTTGGGCTTGGATCTGAAAAAATAAAATGTTTCTATCCAAAACTACGGTAACCCTACAACAACCTAATATTGGTTTTTGGTTTATATACATACCTTAATGAATGCGAAGATATAAACTTTTAGCATTATCTGTGCAGTTTACCGTAAACACTCTAATAGATACACAAACTTTCAAAGTTGAGCTTATATATCTCGGTTCCTGCAAAACAAATCAGAAAGTAGTCAACTGTCAACATATTTTTCATATTATGGTTAAAATTCTGTCAATTAATAAATTGTTGATATCTTTCCCAGAAATTGAGATAATTGAGCTCAAAGTTAACAGTTTGGGTGAGCTTCTATTAGAGGAAATACGGTAAATTTGAAACTTTACAAAAGTACTTATAGGATCACGAATCTGTTTCAGATTTTTCTAGGTCTACAAAACAGAAGAAGTGCTTCATTTTTGTAGTTAGAAACATTTTTGTACGATTTCATCCCACAGATTTATTGGACTTCGAAGTAGCGCTAGTTTCACCTACCTATTTCTTCTGATAGGAGCCCACCCAAAACTTTGACCTAAATTATCTTAATTTCTATGAGAAATATCAAAAAGTTGTCAACTGATAAATTGTTCATCATAATATCACCAATATTTAATCAGTTGAAAAAATTTGAATATCTGTTGCAGAAATCGAGATAATTGAGCTCAAAGCTGACGGTTTGGGATCTATTTGACTGAATACGGTAATCACTATTCAAGATCTTAATTTTTCATCTAACCTATCTGGTATGGATAAATTTGCAACAAGTATTCAACTACAAAGTTAAAGTGAGTATAAAAAGTCGTTTCGGAAACCTCACCTCTGCTTCATGCGGACCTTCAACTGCCTTGAAAATGACTGCTCCAAGAAGAGCATATCCAACAACCTGAAATATTATTTTATAAGACAGTCCTTTCCTTTCTTAACCTACAAGAGCACACAATCCAATGTGTGAGAAGAAGAATGCGATGATTTTCTTGACAAGATTCACGACACGAGTCACTTTTGATCTTCTATGTCGACGACCCATGATTTTAGAATTTCTGGTTTCAGAATTTCACTTATCACCGCCTTTTTATTGAAATCATCTGAAACTTGAGTATTCAGAAGAGAAGGAAAAACAAGAATGAAAAAGTTTTGAGACGGCTAGTTTTGAGCTTATGCGGATGTCAAAAATCGGACAGAAATTTGGTTGGCTGTTTGTGAGAAACGAATCATGAAAAATATGTCTCGAGGGATTACGAGAAACAGCAAAAAAGATGGGAGAGCTTTTTTAGAATTGAAGTTGAGGACAGCGAAGAAGAAATTGAGATATCAGAAAGAGGAATTGAGAGAAGCATGGAAATGTAGTAACAACAAAGAGAAAGAAGAAGTCACTTCCTGTAAATTCTCTGCGTCTCTCATTTTAATATAGTCTCTGCATAAAAAGAGGAAGAAATAGAGAGCTCGTTTTATGTGAGAAATACTTGGAAGAGATCCCAAATGTTTGAGAATTTGTGAACAATAATGGGGTAATGAAAAGATGTGAAATCTAGTACTGAGAGGCTGACATGGATTGATTCTGAAATCTAAAAATTGAAGCTAGGGGATCTAGCTATACTTTTCTTCTTAAGATTTTCGAACAAAAATTTTTTGTTGTTTTTTTTCCGTTTCTTGTTGTTTTTTTTTCAAAAAGAATCTAATCAGAGTAAACGAACGGGACCAAAAAACTTTTGTTTCCAGAGCACGAGGGGAGTACTTTCTTGTATTCAATATTTTGAATTCTGAGATTCATAGATTCTGAAATTCTGAGAAATTTTCAGAAATATGGAAACATTCCGAGATGTTGAGATTTTGAGATTCTGAGGTTCCGAGATTTTGAGATTCTGAGATTCTGAGATTCTGAGATTCTGAGATTCTGAGATTCTGAGATTCCGAGTTTTTGAGATTCTGAGTTTCTGAGATTCTGAAATTCTGACATTCTGACATTCTGAGGTTCTAAGATTTTGAAACTCTGAGATTCTGAAATTCTGAAAATTGATCTAGTTTATGTTTTCAAGAAGAACATGACCTCGATTTCAATCGAAATCTACTGTAATCCAAAAAAATTATTTAACATTTTCGAGTGTTGACTTTTATGATGAAATATTTTCTTATCTTATCTTCAGGTCTTATCTACGGGGGTTATATAAGCTGGAGAAATCTACGAGAAGTCAATGATCTGGGAGGCATCTTCACCAAAGATCAACTCGAGATCATCGCCAAGGAAGCAACTACAAGTGCCACCAATCTGGTCCGATAACGGAACGACAGGAAGTCAAGGAACACGAGACGATAATCGGAAGGCGTCTGCTCGGAAGCTGTGCGGCCGCTGCTCGTTGCTTTCATTTTGTTTCTTTTCCTTTTGTCAACTGATTGATGTCATCAAAGTAGAAAAAGTTATTTAAACCCTCGGCTTGGGTGCCATGTTTGGGGTTCATGGCTAGGTGGAACTTCCCACAGAACGTCCCCCTTTTACCAAATGACCGAAATCAAATTTTAAAAGAAAATGAATCAACAATGACTAGCGTACGCATAGCTTTCCCACATCCGAAAAACTGCATCCATTCCGACTTCAAAACTCACTTCCTGAAATCTCCTTTTTAAATGTTTTTTTTCTTTTTTCTCTCTCTCTCTCTCTCTCACTCTCATATGTATTTACGTGTGCTGAAACAAAACTTGTCACCTCTTTTTCTTTTAGTTTCGGATTAGCTTTCGATAAGCCATGCATCCACCCAGATGAGAATGATTTTCCGATGCACGGTCTTTTTCAGATCTAGATACAGTAATCTTATTTGTGAATCTGAAGTATTGCGTAGCAGTGTTTGCACATGTTGTGCTATTTTTACTATTTTTTCTCTATCTTTCAACTTTTTTTGTAAATTTCGATACATACAGCTCAAATCCATCTATTATTGTGTTATTCATCTTACTGTTCTAAACAATGTAGATTTTCTGTTTGTTGTCGATTCCGTAAATTTCAATCCGTTCACGACTGATTTTCGAGATTTTCTTTCAGCACGACTTTTTTGCACTTTTTTTGAAATTTCGTTCTTTCTCAATTTTAAAAAAATATTGAATTGTTGCTGTTCGCCACGGAGGAAAAAGCTGTGACTCCGCACAATATTGGCCCAAAACAGCGGCCGCTTTTTTAACTGTCTGTGTCTCTATTTTTCGTACACTCTTCCCTCTCCGCGGTGCCAACAACAACAGCCGCTTGTCTGAGAGCTCTCATCCCTTCCAATTCGTTGAGAAATATATATTGTTTTTCTTATTCTTCCAGTGATTTAGTGTTTACAGGAGAGTCCTCCCATAGCAACGACATTAATTAGCAAGTCGCGTTAGAAGTGAATGCTGAATCGGGTACGTTTTTTAATTAGAGAATACTAAGAGTCATCTACTACCTAAATTTCACAATATCGCCTCAAAGAAAACAGTTTCCGTTCTATTTACAATAGTCTTCACGTTGTTTTTCCGTTTTTTGAACTGCAAAAATAAGTGACCTGTTTTTTTAGTGACGAATCTATCACTCAACGTCGACCTATCTCCCGTTTTTTGTTCACTACAATTTATTCCACTCCCGTATAGGCTACATAGCACTTTGCTATAAAGGTAACACTGAAACTAGTTTGTTGATTTTGTTGGTTAGGTTTTAATCGTCATTTTTTTTCTCCTCTTGTCTGAGCAAATAGTAAGTGCTGACATGATTTCTAACTGGAGTAATTACAGAGCTTCAAACACTTCAAAAAAGTTAGGAAAAATACTTTTGAACTTCTAAACTATCTGTTCAACTGATAAATTTGTATTAAAATCAGTAGAGTTGTTGTTTTCTTTAAGCTTCGAATTTCTGAATCGATTCGTCACCGATTGAAGCTTTCAATATTTTAGTTACACCATCGTTACTTACAAGTTTTTACACCATCTTTACTTACAAGCATACTCGGTATCGCCATCTTCAGGTCCTTTGTTTTTTTGCTCTCATCTCTTTGCATCTTCTCATGATATACTTTAAACCTCACTGTGATCTTCACGTGAATGACCCAATAGTCTCTATGTCTGTTCTTGCCTCTGATTTCTGTTTTCTTTTGTGCTAGGATTCTATTTTGACATTACCAGCTGGCGAAACCAGTATAAAAGTCAGTAGTAGGATGTAAAAAGTTGGAAAATTATTGTCACTCTATCTATTATGCCATCTTCCAGCGTTTCAAAACCAGAAAATTCTTCTTATTCGCCGGTATGTTCTTTTTTCTCCTCCATTGACTTTCAAAGATTCTCCGTTATCAAGATGATGAAACCAATTGATAAGACCCCGATCTTTAAAGGTGACAGGGGGAGGAAGACCTGTATTTGATCATAGTCCAGTTTAGAGTGATGGATATTTATAGATGTCATCTATAATAAGATGTATCAAGATTGTAGGAAAGTGGTCTTGACGTCATAAAGAAAAGGACCATTAGTGTTCTTTTGCGACATCATAGACCAATCGAACAGTAAATACAGTCTCGTACTTTGGCCCTTCTTTCAATGATCACATTCGTACAGTTCTTATCAGGATCCCTGTGTATTTTTCTTTGAAAAGTTGTTTTGGAAAATTGCAAAGTATGTTGTGGCTTTTTGAAAACATTGCTTTCTTTTTTTGGGGTTTTGGTCAGGTTCATATTGTTTTTTAGTTTTTTTTTTTAAATTTTTGTCAGTTCACATTGTTTTCAAAAATCCAACTGCCACTTTTTGTCACTGGGCGCCTTTTCCATACGAATTTGCATGAAGTTATGTGATATACAGTAACCTGTGTTCTCTACTCTTACACCAACACACGAAAAAAAAAATCATGAAAGAAGATAGAATATGCTCCTCTTGTCTCTTCACACTCATCTCTATTTTCTATTTTGTCTCTTCCGTGTTGTTGAATTCATCTCCTCCACTCTCCGTTTCTGCTAGCCATTGAACTGCTTTCCGCACATATTGGATCTCATTCTTTCTTTCTTTTTTCACCTCCTGGAAATTGTGCACCTCGCAAAATTTTCAACAAACTCAACATTAAAAAAAAAACATTAAATGTCCAGTTTTTGCTCTATAGTTACACTGTCATCAGCCATAAACTGGTAGCCAACGCAGTGTATTTTCTATCTGTGTCTCTCAATCTCTAGCCTGATAAGGGAACACGGGAGGCGTGGTGCTGGACGAGTATAAAGGAGTGAGAGGGGTCGCGATCCATCTCACTTGAAATAATATTGTGTTGTGTTCTAATATCGATTGTTTTTCTTTATCTTTTTCTTGGAAGTGTGATCCCATGTTTCTCATTTTCAGTTAAATTCGCTCTACCGTTACTTCGGATCTGCTGCTGCTGCCACAATGAGTCCAAAGAAGGTCACGATCATCGGATCTGGAAACTGGTTAGTGTTTTTTAAAGAACAGAAAGTATTACATATCTGAATTCAGGGGTTCGGCCATCGCTAGAATCGTCGGAAACACAACGAAAAGCTTCCCCGATCAGTTCGACCCACAAGTGCGTATGTATGTTTATGAAGAGATCGTAAACGGAGAAAAACTGTCGGAAGTTATCAACACTCGTCACGAGAACATAAAATACCTCCCAGGAAAGATTCTGCCAGAGAATGTCGTGAGTTTTTTTTTCGATGATCTTCTCCCATTCTGAGATATTTTGTCTTAAGAAGACAATGTTTTTTGCAGGTCGCTGTTACCGATTTGGTTAAATCATGCGAAGGATCAAATATTCTCATCTTCGTTGTGCCACATCAGTTTGTCAAGGGACTTTGCGAGAAGTTGGTTGGAAAGATTCCAGCCGATACCCAGGCTATCTCATTGATCAAGGTAAGATTCGGTCACTGGCCTATCTGACTTATTCAATTTTTCAACTATCATTCTTTCCTTATTTAGGGCATTTCTTTCGACAAAAACGAACAGGTAGAGAACGGTGTTGTGCATGAAATCAAATTCTAATAGTTTTCCATATTGTTTTCCGTTTAAAAATACCTGATTTGAGTGTCGTAGACCGATTATTAGGCTTCGTTCTTATCAACAGCTTCGTAGACATGTTGTGACCGAATATTTGAGTCACTAAAATTTGCAAACTTCTAAAAATTGTTTTTCCAATCCATTCTGCTATTGTCGAATTAAAAAAAAGTGACACCTAACAAGGGAAGTGTTTTCAGAGGGGCGTTGAGAATTAGATCAAAATTTGTACAAAAGTACTTTCGAACATGCTGAATACGATTTCAGCAATATCTCGGTCATAACCCTAATAGGAACAAAAATATGGGCTCTCAAAGTGTTTTCAGTACTAAATTTTGACCCAAAACGTGCATTTTTCGAGCTTTAAAACTCTTTTCCAGGATTTTTTCAAGCGGGAAACTCTTTTTTGATCATTTCTCTATAATCTGAAATATTTTTTGTACAATTTCAAAAAAAATTTCGATTTTTTTTGAAAATATCATCATGGGGTTCACACTTTAAAAGTGATTTTTTGAGAAATTTTTTTGAAAGTGCAAAAAAGTCTTTCAAACATTCAGAAATTATAGAAACATCATTTTCATAGAATTTGGCAGCTCGATTTCGTCTGTGAGCCCTGATAATTCCCAAAATCTGATAATTGCAAGAAATTTGAAAAACTGTAACTTCTCAAATATTGCACAAAATCGCACAGAATACACAGAAATATGTAAAGATCATTTGGGTGATCGATTTGGTGGTGTTCCACTCATAAAAGAGCAAGACGGAGCAATTCCGAGAGTCGAAAGTTTTGCTTTTGGGCGATAGGATAAGTCGAAAAAACAATATTTCAAAATTTCTTCAAAATTTCAAACGCCTTCTTTTTCACTTTGAAAACGTCGGGAATTCATTAAATAAGTATAATTTGTTATTCAGGGGACCAAAATGGATATCGAAAATTCGTCTCGAAAAAAACAAAAAATAGATTTACCACAGTGGGGTTCGAACCACCATAGTCACTCCTAATGAGTCTCCCTCTTGCCACAACACCACACAACCGATATTTTCCACTGGCGCGGAGTGCGTATAGGAGAGATTTTTGAAAACAGGGCGTAGTGGAGTGAGGGAGGGGGCGAAATCGGTATAAAAATTTTCAGACGAAGATTTTCAGCTTGTTGATGATACTACGACTTAGATTTTTTCGTCATCGTGTTACGGATCTCAAACGCCCCTCTGAAAACACTTCCCTTGTGAGAATTTGAAAACTTTTGCTTTTTTTGATCTACAAAAAAGTGCGGCAAAAACGTAATATTTTAGAATTTCGGCTCGTTCGAGCTACTTTCGCGTTTAAGTTTAGTTTTTTTTTGCTGAAAAATAGATTCTAGAGATGCTAACGATCATTTTTAGACCAAGAAATCAAAATTTTGTTCAGAAAATCCCACTAAATTCACATAAATATTATGCTTGTCTGAGAAAAAAAAGGTTAGAGAGTATTTTTTGCAGTCTGAACACGGTAGCGATATCGAAACGTAGAGCCTAAATAGCACACAAACGGTGAAGACGCAGACACTTTTTCTCTGCGTCTCAACCTTTTTTTCTCAGACAAGCATAATAAATTTGTTATCTACAGCCCCCTCGTAAATCGACACGAGCACCGTCTCCGAGATTTTCAGGTGTCACTTTTTTTAATCCGACAATACTCCCTTTGGTTATTTAAAAGTAACTTTTATTAAAAGAATAATCCAATGCTTTCACTTTCCCGTATTCACCTGAAAATTCCTCAAACAGCATGTTATTTTGAATTGAATCTAAAAGTAAATGTACCTTATATTTCATCTTCCAGGGAGTGTCGACTGGAGGGATCGAACGTGGAGGGCTCAAGTTGATTTCAGAGGAAATCAAGGAAATCCTCAAAATCGAAGTCAGTGTGTTGATGGGCGCGAATCTCGCTCCAGAAGTCGCTAATGATAACTTCTGTGAAGCCACAATTGGATGTAAGAGGAAAGCAGAAGATGGACCTCTTCTCAAGAAGCTCTTCCACACTGACAACTTCCGAATCAACGTTGTTGAAGATGCTCATACTGTCGAATTGTGTGGTGCTCTGAAGAATGTCGTAGCGTGTGCTGCTGGCTTCACCGATGGACTCGGTTATGGTGACAACACAAAAGCTGCTGTTATCAGATTAGGTCTGATGGAGACAACGAAGTTCGTCGAGCACTACTATCCTGGATCAAATCTCGAGACATTCTTCGAGTCTTGTGGAATTGCTGATCTCATCACTACTTGTTACGGTGGACGTAATCGCAAGGTTTGTATAAACTTCATCTTTTGTAGAGTATCTTTGATATTGATTGATTATCAGGTTTGCGAAGCATTTGTGAAAACTGGAAAGACACTGGCCGAGGTTGAGAAGGAGTTGCTGAACGGACAGAGTGCCCAAGGACCATTGACAGCAGAAGAAGTCTATTTGATGATGAAGAAGACTGGGCTTGATGCCAAGTGGGTGCTTTTGATCGATTGGATCGATTCTATCTCTGATTTTCAGATTCCCACTGTTCACCGCTGTTCACAAGATCTGCGCTGGAGAGATGAAACCAGCTGAACTCGTCGATTGTCTTAGAAATCACCCAGAGCACATGTAAATACAAATATTAGATAACGATTTCCTTTTTTAGTATTTCTTTATGCCTTTTCTCTTATTCTTTTTTTTATTCGTTCCCAATTCTCCGATCGTTTTCACCAGTTACGAGTGTTCATTGTGGCGTGGAAGGAGACTAACTCGTTTAAGATCTATTGCCCGCTGCAATTTATTTTTCTGCTCTTGAGCCAAAAAATGTATTACAATTATGATCTTCTTCTTGTCAAGCAAAACACGAGCAACAATTTAAAGAACCAATGTTTATAGTAAATTTTGGCTGGAAAGGGACACCAGTGTTCAAATTTGTTAGAAAGTGAAATTGAAAACAATTGCAATAAATTATTTGCTAACTTGAAAAAAACAAAATTCCTCTAGGAACGGGATGGGAAAAATATCATATCACAGAGAATGTGGCAATCGAAGAAGGGGGCAAAAATGAGAAGACTGGGCTATTTACATCTATGCGAAGATTGGGATGAACTGGGCAAAATGTGTGATGAAGAGGCAATTAGATTTATCCTAGTGTCCTAGTGAGATTATAAAAAAGTGGAATAAGAGGGAATGGGAAATTTTCATAGCAAGCTCTGGTAGATTCAGGATTTACTTCTTCTTCCAGTAGGAATCGAGGAACTCGATAATGGAATCATAGATCATGAACGTGATACCTACGTCCAAGCAGACACGAGAGAGACGGGGAACAGTTCCCTTGTAGAAACTAAAAATAACACTATCAGGATCTGAAAATTAAAAAAAGAAACATACGCGAAGAATCCTTCCTTCTTCCAGATCTGCATGGCGCAGTCGAGGGTATTTTTGTATTTCTTTGCTTCCAACCCTTGCATTCTGGTTTTGACCACATCAATTGGAGTATTTCCATAGACGGATGCAGCACCAGCCACTGCTCCCATCAAACCGACAATTGGCTTTGAGATGGTTTGGGTGTTATCTCCGCCGCGATACCAATCCTTCAACGTCTCCATAACGAAGAATCGGATCGCCTGATTGGATCCTTGTTTCGCCATCGTCGCTGTCACTCCTTTGTAGATTCCACCGAGCCCCTCGGCCTTTACAATGCATCCGACTCCATGTACGAATCCCTTGTATTTTGGTTGTGCAAGTCCTTGGTCATGAATAAACTTGACTTTGACCGTCTCCATGGGTGTGACAGCGAACACGGCTTCAGAAAGTCCGGCTCCCAATCCACACAAAAGTCGCATGACTGGAGTGAGGTTTCCTCGTTCGTCGGCTGCTTGGGATTTGAGATATTCGAAAGTACCGAATCTAAAAGACACCTTTACGAAGATCAACAAAGAACAGAACAATACCTGAAGGACGACTTTGGGATGGATCCATAAAGAAGAACAGAGAGACCTCTGTATAATCCAAAGAAACCGTGTCCCTTGACTGTTTGCTTCACACAGTCAATTGGACCTTTGAACTTAGGAGTAGCTGATCTTTCATCCAGTTGCAATTGAGTCTTAACATATTCTGTTGGAAATGTGATACAAATCTCAATTCCTCCAGTGATTCCTCCAATCACAATTCCACGAACAGTCTTCTCGGAAGGACCGTACTGTTGCCACATGGATAGAGGCCTGAAAAACAACGATGAGCACAAGATGGCAAAATTGGCTCACTTTGCTCCGGGAACTGGCTGGATTGCACCGCTCATTTCGTGTGAAGACGTGCGGCTTGGGGACCCTGAAAGGAGAAAAATCAAAAGAATTCTGACGGTGAACGTGAAAAAAAAGGAGGATGTGAACTAAGTTTTCACAGATTCAAAGAAAAAAGAAGAGGCCACAACTGGGAGAAAAATGAGAAGAAGAAAGGGAAAAGGAGAAGATGTGGAGAAGGAGGAAAGCCGGATGACGAACACGTCAAGGCGCATGCGGGAGCACAGAGAGCTGCACAAGGCGTACAGCCAGCGGGGGCGACTGCAAAAAATGCAGGAAAAGGAAAAGGGAAAACCATGAAAGTTGGACGAGGGGTGGGAAGGGATGCAGTTCTGTTATGTGTTGGCATCTCTTTCTTTGAACAAACAAATAATAAAAGTTTCGAACCATTCGAGAAACTCAGACACCTATGGGAAACTATAATAATTCAAAAACAGAAGAAGAAAGAGGGTGGGCGGAGCTTAGAATGGTAACGCTTGAATGCAAGGCTTTGAATTTTTCACACTTCTAAATACTGGAAAAAAGAGAAAGAACGAAACAAGTGCGCTAATGGAAAACTGAAATGCGATATTTTTCAACAACCTTCAATCGTGGAATCAGACCACTCTTCTCATTGCCTCCAGAGAGCATACGAAGGCAGCGTACTCTGAGAGTTCTCCGATAAGGAGAATGTTGATGGCACGATGTGGGGTGAGAAGCCGAGATTGACTCAAGAAAGGAAAAAGGAACATACAGAATCTCGTGGCCAAGACTTGAAAAATACCCTGAAGGCAAAGTAACCTGAAGGTTGGAAGAGGTGAACTGACAAAAATTGAGTGACAAACAAGTGAAATATTGATTGAAACCTCATTTCCGAAACAGGATCGGTCGCATTAGAATAGGAAACCACAACAACAACAGTAAGGCCAATGAACATTTCTATTGAAGGGCACAAATGAAAAATCCCATTCCCAGAAAACTAGGGTTCTCAAGCAATGACCAGTTTTCTTCAAATGACCAGTTAAGCGGGAACGTACATCAGGGGCTTTCGATCAAAAGGAGGTGGAGACTTTTCGGCTTGCAACGTGCAAATGAGATAAGATGAAGACGAAGAAGAATGACCTCATAAGAGATATGTGATGATTTGTACTAATAGAAAAGAATCGCTTGATTAATTACTGTCTAAGCAAGCCGGCTGATAGAAATGGTTTTGTTTGTGTTCGGTGAAAAACAAATGATCATTTCTTGGTGGCTGAGTCTACGAAACTCTAGCAAAACCTCATTAGATTCAAAAGGAGTTCGTGATTGTTAGGATGCCTATAAACAATTGAACTGTGCACGAAAACTGCATTATGACCTACAAAGAGACAGAAAGCATAACGTCTATTTCTAGAAAATAGAATGACAAAAAAACGACAAAGTAATTGGAAAGATAAGAAAACTTGGAAGTGAGAAATGGAGAAAATGAAGTTGAGAAAAAAACGGAGGACATTAGAGCTTGATAGCGGCAAAGACATAAAGAAACAATCGATCCGTAGAAGATGACAATCGTCCAAGGTTAACATAGAAATTTGGTTCGGAGACCGATTGATGACGACAGAAGTGTAGGATGCAAAGAGAATTAAGAAAACGGATACGAAAGGACATTACTGATGAATCGGAGAAAGAACTACACGTGGGCTAGAATTGGGTCACAAAGGGCATAATATCGGGATTATGGTAAAATTGATTGAGAACTCACTGCTTATCATTATCCAAAAGCTTCTGTTAACGGTCGCAAAATGAATGGAGGCTACAGTCACTATTCTAAAATTGACAAACAAAAAGTCGAAAAAATTGCAAAATCTAGCAAAAAACCAGCTTTATGTGTCTGGCTTATTGAACTTTTTTGTAAAATAGATCGCATGTTCAATCTACAAAACAATTTGTTCGTGCGCAAAATGTAGACCGAAAAACTTGACAAGCTTGAAATGCACCAGATTTGGTGAAGAATCAGAAATAATTGAAAAGCAGTATTCCATCATAATATATCAGAACTCTGAACGTCACTGACTAGAATACACCTGAAAACCAATTTTCTGCAGAACTGGCTTTTCGGAAACTGAGTCCTGCAGAATTTTGGCGGCAGGTGTAAGTCAGCCTCGCGATGTTCGCAACCGAATAATATTAAAATTTTAAGAATAAAAGGGCTGCTGTCCATGAGCAGAAAAGAAAAATCGCACGAATTCAATGAATTACCGTAAGGTGTTGCGTGAAGCCGTCTGCGCCCAACGAGCCGTCTAGCTGCTGCACGCTCTCTGCGTCGCAGTCTCTTGCGCGTGGCCAAGGAGCGCTATTGAGAGGTATCAAATTTGTCTGATTTTCGCGGTTTTTGGGTAAATTTCTGTTAAAACACTGATTCTGCATTTAAAACGCTATTTTTAAGACGAAAATATGTGAAAAGCATTTTTCTTTTCTTTTTTGCACTCCGAAACCGTAGTTTGAACCGGAGAAAATCGGCTGAAAACCCATTAACCGAAATTCAGGGTTGCGCCTTTAATATATCTTACGGTTTCAGTCGCAAGAAATCAATCTTTTGCTTTCGACACATTTCTAAAAAATACGATTTATTTTGATGATAATTCAAAATTTACAAAAATTTTCAGATAATGAACAGTGTAATAAACCGAGCTTTGACGCAGGGATCATCCGCTATTCGACAGTTCTTAGCTGTGAGAAGTCCCATGTGCCAGGAAGTCGCTGGATTCAAGGTTAATTTTTGTTTAATTTTAAAAATTCATTAGTCGCAACATTTCAATTTTTCCATCAAGTTGCATAGAAAATCCTCCTTGAATTTTTATTTTTCTTTTTTCTATGGAGAAGTTTATTTTTTTTTGATTTCTGAAAAAGAACACAGAATGCATGAATTAAAAAAAAACTATATTTCCAACAAAAGAACATTCAATATAAATTTCGAATTTAGGTGAAATCTCGCCTGAAGCTGCGTTGTCGTTGCTGTTACTTCATTCGTGTTGATGGTCGTCTCCATGTGGAATGTCATGAGAATCCAAGACATAAGGCTCGCGAGGTGTACGATATCAAGAAGCTGTGGTGAAGCGCCATCGAAATCTTCCTTTGTTCTCTCGTTATTTTAAACTTGTTTTTTTATTAGCTAATGAAGGTTCTAACTAAAATATCTAATTTCATCTGTAGAACTTTTTTGAACCCTTCATCGGTACACCTGAAAATTACAGAGAGGTAAATATTTGAAGAATGCTGCAAACGACATGATATTTGTCAAGTACATCATTACGGTCTCGAGTTCAAAAGTGTGTCACATCCGGCATCAAACACTATCATTGTAAAAGTAAAGTTCTAATTTTGCGTCGCGTCAAAACGGATGTACAATTAGTACAATTAGTTCCGGACCTCTTGAACAATTTTCAGCCACGTAGTAGTCCAAACTTAAATTTTTCCATTCCTAAATGCAAAAAATATTTCTGGTTTGCTCTCTTGACTAAAAATGGAACAGAGCCCGAATTTCAAAAGCAATTTGAACAGTGAAATGAGCGATTTGATACATCAAGTGAGTACTCTGAAATCACATTTCGATTAACGTCGAATTCATAATTAGGCAGAAGAATGGGCTCAAATGTGGCATAGTTTATTGTCACCGCCACCACAGGATCCGAAATTAGAAGTTTTGCTGAAGCAGACTTTACATAAAGCATCTTTAATTCTTCTGGAAAAAACGGGAGTGAAAACAATTGAGGAATTTCAACAGTTTTTCGATTCCATTCGTAATGTAGAAAAAGAAGAAAATGTTGAAGTACAGAGAGAAGCAACGGCAAGCTCGCCATTGAGTTTTGATGAATTTCAGGTACAAAAAATTACAAAAAAAAGTTTGAAAAACTAGAAATTCTAGGGTAACTCAAAATGGACCGAACTACTTGAAGAGACTTTAGCTTCTTTCTCTCCAATCAACTGTCGTCGTCGCACATCTCTGTTCTCTGATCTTCAAATTTTATCTCCAATCGTTTCGGAAACAAGTCAATCTCCAGAGAAAACCAAAAAACAGCAGATGTCCACACCACATATTACACCTTTTCGGAGACCATTGTTCAGCTCAATGTCAACCCCAAAAACTCAATGGAGAAGAGGAAATTCGATGTACGTGGAGGATGTGGCAAATACTACGATTACAGTAGGTCAAAATGTGTGGAGAAAAGAATAATTGACCCAATTTTCAGCCACAAAAAGCGCTGAGCACTTCGAGATTGTCTATCCAATCACCAGTTCCTTTGGCTGGTGAAACACCATTAGAGAATCGAGCGAGTAGATTGAGAAGGATGAAAATAGAAGAGAAGATGCGTGAAATTCAGATGGGGTGGAACTGACACTGGAATTGAGAAACTACTCGATTTGATCTAATAAACTTGTTTTTCATTTCTGTACTTATCCCAATTATATAGACTTTCTCTTATTTTTTTAATTCGAAAAGGAATCTCAAAATTAGATACCGTATTTCCTCTAAAAAAAGCCCACTTAAACCGTCAACGTTGAGCTCAATTATCTCGTTTCTTGTCAAAAATATAAAAGTTGTCAACTGATAAATTGTTTATCATAATATCAAAAATGTTTTGTCAGTTGATGCATTTTCGATAGCTTGTATATGAATTCAGATAATTGAGCTCAAACTTGATAGAGTGGGGGCCCGTCTGCTATAGGTTCTACAGTGTCTCAATTATCGAAACCTTCTCTTCTTGTTTCACATCTGAAAAGGAAAATTCCAGAAAAAGAAGAGATATTCAGTTCAACTGTTCATTTGTGTCATTCAAGAATAACCATTCTTGTATGCATTATGCGGAAGAGAGATCCGTCGTCAAAAAGTTGGCAACCCGTAATAAAACAAGACGATCTAATGGGGGGAAAGAAAAGAAATTGTTAAATGGTGTGTAGAAATGTGCAGACAAGGGAATATGGTGAAGAAGAAGAAGACGTGGATTTCATCGACCAGGACGAGCTCCAACTGCATCGTTGAAACCACTGCGGTACTCATCCATTATACCAGAAACTCCATGACCATGAGTGTATGCTGAAATTAAATATTATGATAATTGATTACTGTAGAGCATGTTATCTTATTATCTTATAACCTGTAATAGAGGGGCATCCTAGCTTTTAACTTTGGTCAAAATTTTTTTCGGTCCTTGTTAAAAGAGTTGTCAACTGATAAATGTTTGTCAGTTGACATTTTTTTTGTATCTTGCATAGGAATTGAGATAATTGAACTCAAACTTGTGAGAATTTTTCTATTGCAGGTTTTACGGTATCATATTATTCATGTAAACTCAAGAGTACTTCTTCATATAATCTACAATTATTTTCAAAGATCCTATTTCTTCCCCACTCACATCTTTTCAATTTATTAATATGCTCCTCTTTATCTTCAATTTCTTTACTCAATGTCTCAACGACCCTTTCCAGAAGTGCCTGTTCCTCTTCGAGCATTCGTAATGATTTCCTGAAAATATTCACATTTTTTTTGTGTCCTTCCATTATTTCAGACGTCATTTCATGAAACCCCCGGTTTTACATCACATCCAATTCAATTACAGCACCCAAAACAGTTCAAAAACCGTAATCCGATTACTTTCAAGGGGACAAGGTGCACAATTTTTCGTGGAAACTCTCCGATTTCGTTGAAAAGGTTGGGACAAAGTTTGAGTTTTTGGAATGATGGATTGGAATGGGAGAAGAACAAAAAGAGACTAGAACTACAGTGATGAGAATGACAAGTTGAAACTAGAAAAAACAAGAGTCTAGGTACAGAATCAGATGATTCGTTTAAGATGGAATATAGATGAATTAAGCTTTTCTGCAAGACAGATCTCAAAAATCCTTAGGTCTGGAGAAAGATGGTCCATACATCATCAGAGCTGATATTATGTCAGATATGTCTCTAGCAAAGCAGAATCAACTTCGATTCAGAACACCATCAGATTGGGTTTAGGATTCCATAAGCGGATATTGGATTACAACAGATTCTCAACTACAGGACCTTCGACCTCCATTACAAAAGTATTCCATCTATTTTTAGAGCATTCCTCTTCTCTTTCCCTAATTCCTTTCCTATATTTTATTAGAATTTTCAGCTCTTTACATTCAAAAAGTCACGTTTCTAGACGCAGCTGTTGCGGTTTAGTCTTTTCGGCGACTCGAGAAGAATTCAAGCGATGTGCAACAGAAACACCTTTTTTCTTCTGCTTTTTTTAATCGGCTCACAGTACGTCCATCACTTCCTCTCACTCTTTTTTCTCTTTCTCAATTGGTCATCACTAGGACTTTGGAACTTTGAAAATTGTGTAAAAGGAGCCGCGGTTGTTTCTTCTCGCTTATCGAATAGGATTAGACAACATGTAATACATTGGTGTGTAGTCGTTACAGGTTAAGTAAACTTTGTCCTCATTTCAGATTTTTCAAATTTTTTGATTTTTAAAGATGAAGGTTGCTGGTTCAGTAACGAAAATACCGTAAAACTAGAAGACTCCGTCACGTTTGAGCTCAATTATCTCAATTCCTATGCAAGATACATAAAATGTGTCAACTGACAAAACGTTTCTGATATTATCATTAACAATTTATCTATTGACCACTTTTTGATATCTTTGACAGGAACCGAGATAAATTGGCGCAAAGTAAAAGTTAGGGGGGGGGTGGGGCTCATCTATGGCAGGTTTAACGGTAAGCTCTTTTACAACTTCTGGTTATACCGGTGGCAAATGTGAACTTAGAATCTACGGAGAGTTAAACTAGCACCAAAAAAATAGTTATAATTTCGAAAAGAGTTTCTGTTAAAATCGTATTTTCAAAAAATGACGCATTTCCGATTTCCGACTACCAAACACGAGAGAGGCGATGAAAAAAAGTGTGTGTAAACGGAAAGGAAGGCGATGTTGTCATTTTTAGGGAGCACGGAATTCGAATTTATTTGCCTAAACGGCCATAAAGTGACCGCGAGAAGACACGTGATATCGGACGACTGAAAACCCAGAAATTCCTCGCTACTCACTGTTCGCTCTCCAACATTTTCGCGATTTTGTGCTTCTCGGCGACTCCGATCGGACCAAAAACTGGTTTGGCGGATGAGAATAATATTAAAATAGAGAATATGATGAGCAATAACGTCAAATGAAGACGCATTTTTTTAGAAGATGGGGGATTCTGAAAATTTTGGGATGTTAAGAAGATTCGGAAAAGCATCAAAGTGATATAAGATGAATTTAGAATTTCAGAGTTAGGAAACAACAAATCTGAAATTTTGAAAAATAGGCTCAATTTCAACAATTTCAAAATATCTTAAAAGTTATGTGCCTATGTGAGAAATGTGGTTAGAGTGTCATGGCTAAACCACAGATACCAACACCAAAAAGAAGTCAGAGAATAGATACATCACAAAAGAAGATGATAAAAGGAGAAGGTGACGTGGCACCAGAATGTCTATCAGAAGAATACTTGAAGCAAGTGCAAATATATAGAACACTGGGGAGACACAGTTTGCATCAGAATGACACAGTAATAGGAAATACAGAATAGCCAAAATATAAAAGTATAAATAACAAATTAAAACCAGCCATTAACTGTTTTTTCTCTTCCTTCCACATTCCAAAAAGTCTTCAAAAGTTGACCGCATGTTTATGATGCTCTTTTTATGCTCCACTATCAATGTTTGCCCCGCGAGACGTTTTGATTCCTTCTTTTTTTAAGAGTTCGGAGGCGGGTTTCTATTGTCTACAGTAAGCAAGAAGTCTCCTCCCTCCAAAACTCCGCCCACTTTTCTGAAATTTTTTCCCCGAGAAGCAGAAGAGTTGGTGGAAACCACGAAGAAACGCAGAATGCAAAAAAAGAAGAAACGATAAGAAAAGAATTTGAAATATTTGGGAATGAGAAAGAAATGGATTGCACCTCCCAATCGAGGAATTAGCAAAGAATTATAGGTTTCTGATGATGTGATGAGACATCAGAAGCTGACCTATTTCTTTTGCAAAAAGAATTCTGTGACGTATTTCTTTTTATTTTTAGCCATTTCTCGGAATTTTTGATGGATATCGTAGTTAATCGTATTTAATCCCTTTAATTGGGAAACACTCTCTTCAGAACATCCTACTGAAGGAAAAGCGGCTAGAATATTTAAATGCATGTGTTGAAGGTTTCAAAACAACTTATTGGATTAAATGTTACATTATTTTAATATCTGAAGTCATTTCCTGAACTACGTATTTTTGACAAGTCTTGGATAACCAAAAGCAAATTGTAATATGAATTAGTTATGTATATCAAACTCTAGATCCGGGGGCATATAATTCGGAGGGTACAACAATTCGGGGGTACAAAGGGGTACAAAGC